CAGACAACATCTCTCCATGGGTCCTTAAAGAGGGAGCAGAGATATTGTGTGAGCCATTAACAAAGATCTTCAACACATCATTTGAAACTGGGCAACTCCCTGAGGTATGGAAAATGGCAAATGTAGTCCCAATTTTTAAAAAGGGAGACAGACATGAGGCACTAAACTACAGACCTGTATCACTAACGTGTATAGTATGCAAGGTCATGGAGAAGATCATCAGGAGGAGAGTGGTGGGGCACCTGGAAAGAAACAAGTGTATAATTGACAACCAGCACGGTTTCAGGGAAGGAAAATCCTGTGTCACAAACCTACTAGAGTTTTATGACAAGGTGACAGAAGTAAGACAAGAGAGAGAGGGGTGGATCGACTGCGTATTTTTGGACTGCAAGAAGGCTTTCGATACAGTTCCTCACAAGAGGTTACTGCAAAAGCTAGAGGACCAGGCACACATAACAGGAAAGGCACTGCAATGGATCAGAGAATATCTGACAGGGAGGCAACAACGAGTCATGGTACGCGACGAGGTGTCAGAGTGGGCGCCTGTGACAAGCGGGGTTCCACAGGGGTCAGTCCTAGGACCTGTGCTGTTCTTGGTATACGTGAACGACATAACGGAAGGGATAGACTCAGAAGTGTCCTTGTTTGCAGACGATGTGAAGTTAATGAGAAGAATCGAATCGGACGAGGATCAGGCAGGACTACAAAGAGATCTGGACAGGCTACAAGCCTGGTCCAGCAACTGGCTCCTTGAATTTAACCCTGCCAAATGCAAAGTCATGAAGATTGGGGAAGGGCAAAGAAGACCGCAGACACAATATAGTTTAGATGGCCAAAGACTGCAAACCTCACTCAAGGAAAAAGATCTGGGGGTGTGTATAACACCGAGCATATCTCCTGAGGCACACATCAATCAGATAACTGCTGCAGCATACGGGCGCCTGGCAAACCTACGGATAGCGTTCCGATACCTCAGTAAGGATTCGTTTAAGACTCTGTACACCATCTACGTCAGGCCCATACTGGAGTATGCAGCACCAGTTTGGAATCCACACCTAGTCAAGCACGTCAAGAAATTAGAGAAAGTGCAAAGGTTTGCAACAAGACTAGTCCCAGAGCTACGGGGATTGTCCTATGAAGAAAGGTTGAGGGAAATCGGCCTGACGACACTGGAGGCCAGGAGGGTCAGGGGAGACATGATAACGACATATAAAATACTGCGCGGAATAGACGAGGTGGACAAAGACGGGATGTTCCAGAGATGGGACATAGACACAAGAGGTCACAATTGGAAGTTGAAGACTCAGATGAATCAAAGGGATGTTAGGAAGTATTTCTTCAGTCATAGAGTAGTCAGGCCATGGAATAGCCTAGAAAGTGATGTGGTGGAGGCAGGAACCATATATAGTTTTAAGGCGAGGTATGATAGAGCTCATGGGGGCAGGGAGAGAGAGGACCTAGTAGCAATCAGCGAAGAGGCGGGGCCAGGAGCTTTGACTCGACCCCTGCAACCACAAATAGGTGAGTACAAATAGGTGAGTACACACACACACACACACACACACACACACGCACGCAACCACAAATAGGTGAGTACACACACAGACACTCACAGACAGACAGACAGACAGACAGACACACACACACACACACACACACACACACACACACACACACACACACACACACACACACACACACAAACACACACAAACACACACAAACACACACACACACGCACACACACACACACACACACACACACACACACACACACACACACACACACACTTTAGTTTAATATCTTTATTATGCACCCCATACCCATCCTGTGGGTGGTAGTCAAAAGATTACAAAGGTACATAATGGGTCCAGTGACTGGACCCCAAGATTCACTGACACAAGAGGAGATATAAAAAAGACCTGGAAAACACTCTCTCAGATTCTAGGGACCCACAAACTGAAAAAAAAAAACAAGAATATTGCCCTAACTAAACCTAACGAAACACCACTGCATCCCACTGACACAGCTAACAAGATAAACGACTTCTCAACCATAGGTTCTAATCTCGCCAATAAAATCCCACGCACCAATGCCCATGCCGGGGACTACCTAGATGGGAATTTCCCAAATTCCTTCTATCTTGCTCCAACTGAGCCCATGGAAGTCACCGAAATTATAAAGTCACTTAAAAATAACTTAGGGAATCTGTCTCATGTCCCACCATTATTGTACAAGAGAGCGGCCCATGTCCTCTCGCATGCTATCTCATTACTTTTTAACAAGTCACTAGAAACTAGCACCTTCCCGAAACTACTCAAGACGGCAAGGGTTACACCAATACATAAAGGTGGTGACCCTACAGATTTAAACAACTATAGGCCAATATCAAACTTACCATTGCTATCCAAAATCTTTGAGAAACTCGTGCACAGAAGACTATATTCATTTATAACGGCACAAAACATACTCAACCCCTGCCAATTTGGATTCAGGAAAAATAAAAGCACTAACGATGCAATCATAAAAATGCTAGATCTGTTTTACACAGCATTGGAAAATAAGGAATATCCACTAGGAATTTTTATTGACCTAAGAAAAGCTTTTGACACAGTAGACCACGGCATCCTACTCCACAAACTTGACCATTATGGTATAAGAGGCCATGCGCTTGCATATTTCAAATCTTACCTTACTAATAGGTATCAGTATGTCACCATTAAAGACACAGCATCAACAACACGGCCACTTGATACTGGAGTTCCGCAGGGAAGTGTCCTTGGTCCCCTGCTCTTCCTCATATACATCAATGATCTTCCAAACGTATCTCAACACCTGAACCCCATTCTCTTTGCTGACGACATGACTTATGTCATCTCTCACCCTAATCTTGCCACCCTCAACACCATTGTTAATGAGGAGCTGATCAAAATATCGACTTGGATGACAGCCAATAAACTTACGCTTAACACTGACAAAACCTACTACATTATGTTTGGTAGCAGAGCAGGAGATGCGCAAATTAACATTAAGATCGACAACACTCTAATTGGCAGGCATAATGAGGGCAAATTCCTAGGCCTATACCTCGACAACAACCCGAACTTCAGCACCCATATCCAACACATAACCAAAAAAGTATCCAAAACGGTTGGGATCCTCTCCAAGATACGATACTACGTGCCGCAAACTGCCCTTCTCACACTATACCATTCACTTATATATCCATACCTCACCTATGCTATATGTGCTTGGGGTTCAACTGCAGCAACACACCTAAAGCCAATAATAACCCAACAAAAAGCCGCAGTAAGAATAATCACTAAATCCCATCCCTGGCAACACCCCCCCCACTCTTCATGGATCTAAACTTACTCCCTGTTCAGTACATCCACACTTACTACTGTGCAATCTACATCTACAGGACCTTAAATTCCAATATTAACCTTGACCTAAAACGCTTTCTTGATAGTTGTGACAGAACCCACAGGCACAATACCAGACACAAACATCTCTATGACATTCCCCGTGTCCGACTAAACCTTTACAAAAATTCAATGTATGTCAAAGGCCCTAAAATCTGGAACACCCTACCTGAAAATTCTAAAACTGCAGACACATTCATCACCTTCAAAACTACCATCAGAAAACATCTTATCTCCCTGATACACCCTGTCAACTAATTACACGAATACCACCTGGTGGTTCACACACTCACTCACCCACTTGACCATAAACAGAAATATCAATCTCAATCTCAAAATAATGAATCTTAACTAGTCATAAGTTGGCCTGTGTTACTCCAATACTGAAACTATGTATAGTGCCTAAACAAAAGCATTCACATTGCTAAACTCACAAACTAGTATTTAGTCACTTAGCCATAATACCAACTTACCTCATAATTTTGTAATATTTTAAATTTAAGATTTAATTTAAGTCTGCCCGAAATACCTAGCCATGCTAGGTGTCCTAGTGGTACACTCTGTAATTATTATTTTACTACATGTAAACCACACAATAACCAAATTCTGTAAACTCAGCATTGTAATCCTTATAGAGAATAAACTTTGAATTTTAATTTGAAACAACTGCTACAAGCAACACCAGCTATCAATACAAACAACTGGTACAAACACCAGCTATCAATACAAACAACTGCTACAAACAACACCAGCTGATCAATGCAAACAACACCAGCTATCAGTACAAACAACTGCTACAAACAACACCAGCTGATCAATACAAACAACTGCTACAAACAACACCAGCTATCAGTACAAACAACTGCTACAAACAACACCAGCTGATCAATACAAACAACTGCTACAAACAACACCAGCTATCAGTACAAACAACTGCTACAAAACACCAGCTGATCAATACAAGAAGCTGCTACAAACAACACCAGCTATCAGTACAAATAACTGCTACAAACAACACCAGTTGATCAATACAAATAGCCGCTACAAACAACACCAGCTATCAATATAAACAGCTGCTACAAACAACACTAGCTGATCAATACAAACAACACCAGCTATCAGTACAAACAACTGCTACAAAAACACCAGCTGATCAATACAAACAGCTGCTACAAACACCAGCTGATCAATACAAACAGCTGCTACAAACACCAGCTGATCAATATAAACAGCTGCTACAAACACCAGCTGATCAATATAAACAGCTGCTACAAACACCAGCTGATCAATATAAACAGCTGCTACAAACACCAGCTGATCAATACAAACAGCTGCTACAAACACCAGCTGATCAATACAAACAGCTGCTACAAACACCAGCTGATCAATATAAACAGCTGCTACAACACCAGCTGATCAATATAAACAGCTGCTACAAACACCAGCTGATCAATATAAAACAGCTGCTACAAACACCAGCTGATCAATATAAACAGCTGCTACAAACACCAGCTGATCAATATAAACAGCTGCTACAAACACCAGCTGATCAATATAAACAGCTGCTACAAACACCAGCTGATCAATACAAACAGCTGCTACAAACACCAGCTGATCAATATAAACAGCACCACCAGCTGGGTCATGGAGTGCAGCAGGCACCAGCCTACAACACCAACATTATAACAATGTTTCCTGGCAGTGAAGTAATTAGAAATGGACATTTAAGACTGAGGAAGTTATATTTAGATGTCGTTGTGAGGAGGAGGAGGAGTTATACCAGCCCACCATCACACTGCTCTACCATCATGACTCAAAGGTGATGCACAATTGTAACTTTTGGGAATTTTTTACTCGGAGTTATGTTGCTGTTTTTTACTTTTGTGTGTTTAATGAGATGTTTTACGAGGACTCAAGTGGAAATTTGTTTTTTGGTCTGATCTTGTTCATGAGGGGGTTGTTATGGGTAATTATATAATATGTTACGAGGACCCCTAATGGAAATTAGTCACTTTAGCTGACTTTTTTTATGGGGGGTAATTATATAATGAGATTTTACCAAGATCCCAGTGGAAACAAGTATTTTGTTTGACCTTGTTTGGGGGGTTATTAAGGTTAATTATATAATGAGATGTTATGAGGACTCTGAAATAAGTCACTGACTTTTTTTTTTTTTGGGGGGGGGTTATTCTGGTTAATTTACATTATGTATGATTAGTAAGTTTATTTAGGTACAGGTACACATAAATACAGTTACACAAATTATCATACATAAGTAACAGGTACAGGTACACATAAATACAGTTACACAAATTATCATACATAAGTAACCTCTGTAAATTACCTAGGATAACCCAAGATTAAGGTCAAAGTGAGTTATTTCCATTGGGGTCCTTGATTTTGCATAAAGTTACATAGCTGCTTTAATTTTTGTTTAAATAATGAGATGTTATGAGGACCCCGATGGAAATAAGTCACTCTGACCTTTTTGAGGGTTATCCTAGGTAATTTACACTGTGATAATTGTACTTATGTTTACCTGTACCTAAATATACTTACATGAGGAAGGGGGCTCTTGATCCATGGAACTTGGTATGTTCTTCCCTCTTCCCTTGGATCCAGCCTAATTGCTTACCATTCTTCCCCTTCCCTAATAAATTTAATAATCAGGGGATCTTTATCCATGGAATTGGACCTGTCCTTCCCTTCCCTTGGATCAAGCCTGAATGCTTACCATTTCCTCCCCTCCCTGGTGTTGAATGACTCCTACAGGTTTAGCAGTTCCACTAATAATAATAACAACCAAGGAGGGTACTTCTTTGATGCCAGTCAGGGGATCTTGATCCAAGGAATTGGGGCTACCTTTTTCCTTGCTGAATGTATTAATATCACTAGCTGCACCTTTAAGGAAGGCATCTTGATGCTAGTGAATGAAAAGCTTGCTCTGGGGATTTTCTCCTTCAAATTCAATTTTTATTTCTTTGCAAAGGGCTCTGGTGGCCTGGTGGTTAACGCTCTCGCTTCACACGGTGAGGGCCTGGGTTCGATTCCCAGCCAGAGTAGAAACATTGGACGTGTTTCTTTCCACCTGTTGTCTATGTTCCCCATCAGTAAAATGGGTACCTGGGTGTTAGTCGACTGGTGTGGGTCGCATCCTGGGACACTGACCTAAGGAGGCCTGGTCACAGACCGGGCCGCGGGGGCGTTGACCCCCGGAACTCTCTCCAGAAACTCCAGATAGTATACAATGTGTAGTTTACATGTAGTAAAATGTCGTTAAACACAAAGAAAACCACTAACATGCATGAGCATTTTGGGCAGACTAATCCTACATCTGATCAATTAGAAAACCTGTAATATACCTGTTGACACAAATTAAACAGCTACAATTTGATAGGTAAGACACATAGGCAACAGTTAGGCAACTTTATTCCGAAACGTTTCACTTACACAGTAGGCTTCTTCAGTCGAATACAGAAAGTAGGCATGGTATACAATACCTGTCGGTATTGTATACCATTTTGATGTTCAGCTACAATTTGAGTTTGTAATTATTTTAATGAATGGTTTGAAAAACCGACGAGTTGAAGATTGAGACACTTATGCAGCATATGAGAATCTTTATTCAGGAAACGTTTCGCCACACAGTGGCTTCATCAGTCCAATACAAAGAGGAAGGCGTAAGGAGAAGAGGAGTATGAGGTAATCAGTCCCTCAGCCTGGAGTCGATGTGTTCAGTCCATCTACAAGATTGATGGACTGAACACATCAACTCCAGGCTGAGGGACTGATTACCTCATACTCCTCTTGTCCTTACGCCTTCCTCTTTGTATTGGACTGATGAAGCCACTGTGTGGCGAAACGTTTCCTGAATAAAGATTCTCATATGCTGCATAAGTGTCTCAATCTTCAATTATTTTAATAACTGTGTGGTACTCTAAAGATATTTAATCTTAAGTAATCTGTAAGCATTGGAATTAGTTTGTCCGAAATGCACATGCATGCTAGTGGTTTTCTTTCTACTTAAGAATATTATATCAACTCAGGGCCGAGGGACTGATTACTTCAAACTCTTCCTGTTCTTCACCATTCTCCTTTGTATGGACTGATAAAGCCACTGTGTGGCAAAACGTTTCCTCATTAAAGATACCCAAGTGTTGCACATGTGTCTAATTTATCAATATTATATTACATATAAACTACACTTTGTATACTACACAAAGAAATAAAGTTGTTTATTGTTTTATTGTTGAATTAATGATGAATTATAATGAAGTTACATATGACACAGTAATGCACTTCCCAGGTTAGTATGTACTTAAACATTTTTAACATTCATTGATACAATTGAATTTTATTATATTTTGTGTAAATATATATGTACCGTGTATTTCTCATTATAAATTCACTAAAATATAAAATTGCAGTTTTGTAGAGCTTTTATTTTTTCCTTTAGGGTCATCAACAGCAACAGCACATCTCCCCCAATCCCCATTGTGCGTCGGGGTATTACACTTGCTCCAATATCCCTCGGCTCCTGCTCTACAGCATGTGAGCGCCCCTTTACCCCGTCACCGCTTCCTTCCCCTCCATCCTCACCTCCAGCTCCCAGCTCACCATCAGGGCTCTTACAAGCTACCAAAGATGCCTTGAAATGTGCAGTCTCTAAGCGTGGCTCAAAAAATAGTGTTCTTGTCATTGATGTAAGTATTATAGTCGTCTTTGATGTTGTACTCCTCTCACAAAAGGTGTCTTGATGCTGGTGGGGACTGGATGGAAATAAATGGTATAAAATACTGACACAAAGGAAATATAAACACATAAGCAGTACATATAATGTGTTCTTTTACTGACAACGTTTCACCCACACAGTGGGCGTTATCAAATCACAAACAGATCCGCTGGTGGAGACTTGATTTGAGGAATTGGATCGATCATCCCCCCCTTTTTTTTTTTTGGATTAAACCTGATTGCCTCCCATTTTCACAGGTGCAGCATGACCTTGATAGGTTTAGCACTTCCCCATTATAATAATATGTGATAATATTAGTAATTTGATGATATGCTCTTCTTATTCCCTATTTATATTATACTTGTATGATTATAATACAACTTGACAAATATAGTACAGTAGTTCATCAAATGATCAATGAAGTTAAGGCTCTGGTTTTTTTTAAGTCAAAGGATTTCTATAATTTGGTTACAGAACTTTATAAGTATAGTAAATCTCCAATTTAAAGGGCCCAGATTTAAAGGATTTTGAATGTAACAGACAAAATTGGTGGTTGAACAGCACTCAGAAACCCAGAATTATCCACTGGGTAAATATACCTTCAGATTTAACTACAAAATTTAGAAAAATCAGAGACAGACATGATATTTTGGCCCACATGTCAATGCTATCTATAGAGTACATTTTAATTACTGTTATACTTCAGTATGATATACCAGTGATATAGTCAGTGGGCATAATTTTAGCTTAATGTCAGTTTTTAATCTCTGCAGGAGGACATGCGGGATATGTGTTATTACTACTCCCAACTTGGCACAGATGAAAGATCAGAATTTTTGATTCACATGGCCACATCACTGTCTACCAACCATCAAGCTGTTCAAGAACTTATCCAACAGAAACCACAGGTTGGTTTTACTGATGCTTTACAGGCACAATCACCACTTTTTACCATATACTGTACTGTACAACTATTTCATAAAGTTACAGTAACACATTTGCAAACAGAGCAAAACAAACCCAAATGGAAATAAGTCACTTTGACTTTTTTTGGGTTATCCTAGGTTCTCTACACATACGCTGCTATGTATGATAATCTGTGTAACTGTATTTGTGTATACCTGAATAAACTTACTTACTAGCACACTGGCCTATGAGGATTCATCTGCCATGGATTTAAGCCCCACCCAGTCTGTGATTTGATATACAACTATTCTTTACCTCACCTGTAGTATTTATGCCTGGGGGTCTACTACACCAAATAACGTAAAACTATTAATAACCCAACAAAAAGCTGTAGTGCAGACTATCGCCCGGTATATTTTATGTTTTTGGTTTGGGGGGGGGTTGTTTTTTCTGTTTTTTGCCATTCCAGTACCAGACAACACACTCCTCCAATCTCTCAATAAGGTATGAACTTACTTAATATGTTAAAGAAAAAATAAATTTGCAACCTATACCCACTCTGCCTATGGTATATGTTGAACATTCAATGCCAGTATAAACCCTTTTCTGAAACTTTGTCTTGATAGCTGTAACAGAACACACAGGCATAACACAATACTCAAAAACCCTAAGATCTGGAATTCATTGCCTGAATCATTGAAAGGTCCCCAATTAGCCAGTCAGTTCAGAACTATTGCTAAACAGCACCTCATCTCCCTCTCCCTAACACAGTTGAAACAGCAGTATGCTATACAGTAGTATCAAACAAAAACCAGCTCATCTAATTCTGTCCCTGTTCTTCTAGTCTTCCATCAACTTCCATAGAAAATTGGTAACACATTGTCCCATTGTATTTGTATTGTAACTAAGTAACTTCTTGTATCTTCAACATCTCTGTTCATTTACTCTACAAAACTGAAGATCATTGAGTAGTTTGAAAAGACAATTCATAATTTTGAAATTGTACCATTTGTTCATTAGCTACCTTTCTTAGTGTATATATGATTGTAGTTAACTGCAGTAGAAATCCTACTTAACAGTCTCTCTAAATATTAAATAACCTTTAATCATTAGGATTAGTCTGCCCAAAATTAATTGCATAATAGTGGCTTTTGTTTGTACCTACCATTGTTTTATTACAAGTAAACTGTTTGTACTGCATAAAGAAATAAGTTGTATTGTTGAGAAGCAGCAGTCAAGTTTATTTACAGTTTCAGTATACAGTGGTACCCCAAGTTTCGTACAGCTCCCAACTCGAACAATTATGTAGGTGCATTATTGTAAGTGCTTTTGTAAGTGTATTTTTGGGAGTCTGAAATGGACTACTCTTATTTACATTATTCCTTATGGGAACAAATTCGCTCAATAATGGCACTCAAACAGCCTTTTGGAACGAATTATGGCCGAAACTCAGGGTACCACTGTACAGTGGACCCCCGCATAACGATGGCATCGCATAGCGATTTTTCCGCATAACGATTACTTTTATTGCAAAATTTTTGCCCCGCATACCGATTAAAAACCCGCATACCGATTTTCGTCCGAGACGCGTCCAATGTGCCCTCAGCCAGCCTCACATGTGCCGCTCCGTCCCATTGTTTACCAGCCAGCCTCCGCGGTAACATCCAAGCATACACTCGAATATATCGTATTATACAGTATTTTTCTGCTGTTTCTGAAAATCAAGTGACCATGGCCCCAAGAAAGCTTCTAGGTGCCAACCCTACACCTCAGAGGGTACAGAATTAATATAGAGATGAAGAAAGAGAGATAATTGATAAGTATAAAGTGGAGTGCGTATAGCCGACCTAGTCAAGCTGTTACAAGAAACCCCAATCAAGCCATCCGCTACTATTGGTGGGCACCCGAAAGACAATCAAGAAGCTGTTCTTGCCAAAGGTTCAACTGTGTTTTTCGAAACAAGAGATCGCAATTGATGGAAGTGTTGAAGAGACCTTATTGGTGGAAATGAAAAACAGATAGCAGGAGATAGCGTCTCGTCAGCGATCATATGTGAAAAGGCCTTGGAAGTTGCATGACGATTAAATTAAAAAAAATGCCTGCAAACAGTGATGATGTGAGTGAATTTAAGGCCAGCAAAGGTTGGTTTGAGAGATTTAATAAAGCGTAGTGGCATCCATATGTGGAAAGGCATGGTGAGGCTGCCAGTTCCGGGGACCACAAAGCGGCTGAAAAATATGTGCAGGAATTCAAGGATACATGAGAAACTGAAGGACTGAAACCTGAACAAGTGTTTAATTGTGATGAAACAGGGCCTGTTCTGGAAAAAATGCCGAAGCAGGAGCCTACATTACTCAAGGAGGAAAAGTGCACTCCCGCAGACATAGCCTATGAAGTACAGGCTTACTTTGTTGAATGTGTGCCAATGCTACTGTGATTGCAAAGTGAAGCCTTTATTATGTATCACTCTGAACTCCAAGAGCGTTCAGGCAAAAGAATGTCCTCAAGGTATTTGTGTGTGCTGTGGAGGGCAAACAGTAAGGCAGGGTCACTAGGGAATTTTTCTATAACTGGTTACACCAATGCATTTGCCTCCCAATGTGAAAAATTACCTAACTGAAAAGAAATTAGAACTTAAGTGCCTCCTGGTGTTTAGACAATGCCCCTGGTCATCCTACAGACGTGTCAGAGCGACTTTAATGTGGGGGACATGAGCTTCATTAAGGTGAAGTTTTTGCCTCCTAATACCACTCCTCTCCTGCAGAGCCCTAGGACCCAGCAGGTTATTTACCAACTTCAAGAAACTGTACAACAAAAGCTCTGTTTGAAAGGTGCTTTTAAGACCCTCAGAAACACAACTGACTCTAAGAGAGTTTTTGGAGAGATCACTTAAATAATCCTCATTGTGTAAACCTTATAGGTAAGGGCTTGGGAGAAGTGACAAAGAGACCTTGAACACTGCTTGGGGAAGAAACTGTGGCCAGAATGTGTAGGACAAAAGGGATTTTGAAGGGTGTTGAGTGCTAATCCCTGAGAACCTGTGCCAGTTGAGGAATTCCATTGTAGCATTAACGGGAAAAGTCCTTGGGGTTGGAGTTAGTGGGGGGATGTGGAAGAGGTTGGGTGAGGAGGACAATGAAGAACTAACCACTGAATGAGCTGCAGATCAACTTCAACAGCAAGAGGCCTACACCGAGGAAATATTTGCATCGGAGAGGGGAGAAGAGAAAATTGAAGAATTGCCGTACTTCAAAGATTAAGGAAATCTGTGCAAAGTGCTTTGAAGGGTGGCAAACCTTCAATGATGAAAAACACCCTCACACGAGCTATTGCAAGCCGTGCTGGTGATTATACACGTGACAATGTTGGAAACACTTTGAGGCAAGTCATAAAGGAACGAGAGGTAACAGCCACTATGGACGAGATATCTTGTGCGAAAGAAGTCCAGTGACTCTGCAGCTGGCGCCCTATTGGCATTAAAAGAAGAAGGGAAGTAACCCCCGAAAAGGACATTACTACCTTCAAGTCCTAATGGAAGGGGATTCCCCTTCTAAAAACACTAACACAATCTCTCCACTCCCCTCCTCTCCCATACCCTCAATCCTCACGGACCAGATCTTTCATAAAAGTTAAGTGTCCTTTAATTGGTGCATGCTCTTTTTGCATTTGTGTGTATTAAAATTAACATTTCATGTGGTAAAAAAAATTTTTTTTCATACTTTTGGGCGTCTTGCACGGATTAATTTTATTTCCATTATTTCTTATGGGGAAAATTGATTCGCATAACGATTATTTCGCATAACGATGAGCCCTCTTGCACGGATTAAAATCGTTAACCGGGGGTCCACTGTATCTGAGATATGGAGATTGCTTTTTTTGATGAGTACTACAGTCATGATTGTTTTATTTTTTACGATTAATTGAACCCTACAATTTAAGAAAGCTTCCAGGTTTATTTTAAGGCCCCTTTTGTTTCATTAAATTTATTAGGGTAAATGGTTTTTAGATTCTCTATTTGATTAATAACTGTTCAGAAATAGCTTTTTGTCATTTCTTTGTAAATTCAGCCTAATCTATGTTCTTTTTTTCATGGTCATGTTTCTTCTTAGATCTTAGATATGCATTAAAAGACGGGGGGTGGTATAGGGGGGGGGGGGGGTGTAAGGGTTGCGAGTGGTGATGGATGTTTGGGGGGGTTATATCAGCTGATAGCTAACAGCGTTGATTAGTTATGCCCAACTTCTGATTTGGGAAGACCGCTTACGTCACGCTGTTCAACCACCCCATCACTGGGTTTTCTCACAAGTGTCTCGGCTCTCTGGTGGGGTCAAGTTTCTTGTGGATATGCGTCAAGAAATTTAATTTTATGGGGGGTGGCGGGGGGGTGTTTGGGGGCTACCTGCACAGCACGACCGCACCCCTAATGCCACCAAACCTCCATCAAAACTTATGCGCCTGCAACAGTTCTCATATTGAAATTTCTTATTAAGTTTTAGTGGAATCTACTAGCAAGAAAAAAATAAATATTTTCAATGCTATTCCTGAAAGATCTGGTAAGATAAAAATACATAAATACTTGCATGAGATTCTGGAGAAATTGTTGATATTGTATTACCAACTTAATATTTTTATTAATATCACACTGGCCGATTCCCACCAAGGCAGGGTGGCCCGAACAAGAAAAACTTTCAATTCACCATCATTTACTCCATCACTGTCTTGCCAGAAGGGTGCTTTACACTACAGGATTTTAACTGCAACATAACACCCCTCCTTTCAGAGTGCAGGCTCTGTACTCTTCATCTCCAGGACTCAATGTCGCCTGCCGTTTCCCTGAATCCCTTCATAAATGTTACTTTGCACATCACGGTTCCAACAGCACTCAAGTAATAAAAACTCATTTTCTCCATTAACTCCTATCATAAACGCTCCCGCATGCCTGCTGGGAAGTCCAAGGCACCTCGCACACAAAACCTCCTTTACCCCCTCCCTCAACCTTTCCTAGGGCCGAGACCCCTACCACCGGCCTTCCTTCCCCCACCCCCACTACAGACTGATAACACTCTTGAAGTCACTCTGTTTCGCTCCATTCTCTCATACATGTCCCCGAACCACCTCAACAACCCTTCTCAGCCCTCTGGACAACAGTTTTTGGTAATCCCGACACCTCCTCCTAACTTCCAAACTACGAATCTCTGCATATATTCACACCACACATTGCCACCTCAGACCATGACATCTCAACTGCCTCCAGCCTTCTCTCGCTGCAACATTCATCACCCATGCTTCACACCCATAGAAGATCGTTGGTAAACTATAACTCTCATACATTTCCCCTCTTGCCATCCAAGGACAAAGTTCTTTTGTCTCCCACAGACTTCCTAAGTGCACCACTCATCCCTTTTTCCCCTCATTAATTCCAAATGATTCACCTCATCTTTCAATAGACCACATCCGCAGACACGTCCACGTCCCAAATATCTGATACATCATCCTCCTCCATACTCTCTCTCCCTCCAATCTGATATCCAATTCTTTCATCACCTAATTCTTATTGTTATCCTCATTACCTTAACTCTTCCTGTATTCACTTTTAATTTCTCTTTTGCACACCCTACCAAATTCTCCACCAAACTCTGCAGCTTTCTCTTCAGAAGCTCCCAAGGCACAGAGTCATCAGCAAAGAGCAACTGTGACAATTCCCACTTTGTGTGATTCCTTTACTTTAACGGAGCCACGCCTCTTGCCAAGAACCCTCGCATTTACTACTTCTCTTCAACCCCATCTATAAATATATTAAACAAACCAATGGTGACATCACACATCCTTGTCTAAGGCCTACTCTTACTGGAAATAATTTCCCTCTTTACCAACATACTCTAACATTGAGCCCTCACTATACTGTAAAAACACTTCACTGCATTCAGTAACCTACCTCCCACACCATACACTACACTCAGCAACATCTGCCCAACATTGCCCCCCTATCCACCCTGTCATAACGCCTTTTCCAAACTCCATAAATGTCCAACAAAGACCTCTTTAAGCCTTATCTAAATACTGGTTTCACTATATGTTTCACTGTAAACAGCCTGGTCCACAAGCACGCCCCCCCTAACCTTCCCTAAAGCCTCCTTGTTCATCTCTATCCTATCTCCGTCTTACTCTTAATTCTTTCAATAATAACTCTACCATACACTTTACCAGGTATGACTCAACAGGACTTTTTTTTTTTTTTATTTTTTTATTATCACACTGGCCGATTCCCACCAAGAGGCAGGGTGGCCCGAAAAAGAAAAACTTTCACCATCATTCACTCCATCACTGTCATGCCAGAAGGTGCTTTACACTACAGTTTGTTAAAATGCTGCAACATTAACACCCCTCCTTCAGAGTGCAGGCACTGTACTTTTTATTCCCCCCATCTCCTGGACTCAAGTCCGGTCCTTGCCGGTTTCCCTGAATCCTCATAAATGTTAACTTTGCTCACACAGAAACAGCACGTCAAGTATTAAAACCATTTGTCTCCCATACACTCCTATCAAACACGCTCACGCATGCCTGATGGAAGTCCAAGCCCCTCGCACCACAAAACCTCCCTTTACCCCCTCCCTCCAACCCTTCCTAGCCGACCCCTACCGCCCCCGCCGCCATCCTGTCCACTACAGAATGAGTACACTCCTTGAAGTTATCCTGTTTCGCTCCATTGCTCTCTACATGTCCCGAACCACCTCAACAACCCTGTCCACAGCCCTCTGGACAACAGTTTTGGTAATCCTCGCATCTCCTCCTAACTCCAAACTACACGTGGGGGGGGTGGTTTTTTCTCTGCATTGTTAGATTCACATCCACACATTGCCCTCAGACATGACTCCTCCCATCTGCCTCCCAGCCTTCTCCTCGCTTCAACATTCAATCACCCATGCTTCACACACCCATATAAGAGCGTTGGTAAAGACTATACTCACATATACATTCCCCTCTTTGCCTCCAAGGACAAAGTTCTCTGTCTCCACAGACTCCTAAGTGCACGCACTCACTCTTTTTTTCCTCATCAATTCTATGATTCACCTCATCTTTCATAGACCCATCCGCTACACTCCCTATGGCCCAAATATCTAATACGGTCACCTCCTCCATACTCCTCTCCCTCCATCTGATATTCATCTTTTCATCACCTAATCTTTTGTTATCCTCTAACCTTAGCTCTTTCCATGTATACACCTTTAATTTCGTTTCTTTTGCACACTCCTACCAAATTCATCCACCAATCTCTGCAGCTTCTCTTCAGAATCTCCCAAGAGCACAGTGTCATCAGCATGAGCAGCGTGACAACTCCCACACCTTTGTGTGCTCTTTATCTTTTAAACCTCCACGCCTCTTGCCAAGACCTCGCATTTACTCTCTTACAACCCCATCTATAAATATATTAAACAACCACGGTGACATCACACATCCTTGTCTAAGGCGTACTTTTACTGGAAAAAATTTCCCTCTTTTCTACATACTCTAACTTGAGCTTCACTATCCGTCGTAAAAATTCTTCGCACTGCTTTCATAACCTACCTCCTCAAACTCATACACTTGCAACATTGCCACAATTGCCCCCCTATCCACCCAGTCATACGCCTTTCCAAATCCATAAATGCCTACAAGACCTCTTTAGCCTTATCTAAATACTGTTCAACTTATAATGTTTTTCACTGTAAACACCGTGTCCACACACCCCCTACCTTTCCTAAAGCCTCCTTGTTCATCTGCTATCCTATTCTCCGCTTACTCTTAAATTCTTTCAATTATAACTCTATAACCATACACATTACCAGGTACCTCAACAGACTTATCCCCCTATAATTTTTGCACTCTCTTTTATCCCCCTTTGCCTTTATACAAGGAACTATGCAGTGCTCCTCTGCCCAATCTCTAGGTACCTTACCCTCTTCCATATACATTTATTAATAATTGCACCAACCACTCCAAAACTATATCCCACACTTCATTTTTTAAAACATTCTATCTTTATCCCCCATCAATCCCCGGCTGCCTTACCCCTTTCATTTTACCTACTGCCCCCACGAACTTCCCCCACACTCACGAACTCGGCTCTTCCTCACCTCCTACAATGATGTTAATTCCTCCTTTCCCTATACACGAAATCACAAGCTTACCTATCTCATCAACATTTAACAATTCCTCAAAATATTCCCGGGGTCCATCTCCCAATACCTCTAATCTCTCCATTTAATAACTCTCCTCTCCTATTTTTTAACTGACAAATCCATTTGTTCTCTAGGCTTCCTTAACTTGTCAATCTCACTGCCGAAAACTTTTTCTTATTTTCAACAAAATTTGTGATAACACTCACGCCACTCTCTCATTTGCTCTCTTTTTTACATTGCTTCACCACTCTCTTAACCTCTCTCTTTTCTCCATATACTCTTCCCTCCTTGCATCACTGTCTACTTTGTAAAAACTTCTCATAGCTAACTTTTTTTCTCCCTAACTACTCTCTTTACATCATCATTCCACGCAATCCTTCTCTTCCCTCCTGCACCCACTTTCCTGTAACCACAAACTTTGCTGAAACACTCTAACACTAGCCAACATTTAAACCTACCCCATCCGTCTTCGACCCCCATGCCATGCTCTCATTAGCCCATCTATCCCCCAATAGCTGTTATATCTTACCCTAACTGCCTCCTCTTTTTAGTTTATAAACCTTCACCCTCTCTCTTCCCTGATGCTCTATTCTCCTTGAATCCCATCTAACCTTTTTACTCTCATTGTAGCTACAACTAGAAAGTGATCTGATATATCTGTGGCCCTCTATAAACATGTAACAATCCTGAAGTCTACTCAAAGTCTTTTATCTACCAATACATATGCCACAAACAACTGTCATTTCGCCCTACGATCATATCGTGTGATAATTATTTATCCTCTTTTTCTTAAAATATGTATTAACCTATAACTAAAACCCCTTTCTATACAAAGTTCAATCAAAGGCTTCTCCATTATCATTTACACCTGCACCCCAAACTTACCATACCACACCACTCTCTAAAAGTTTTCTACTACTTAGCATTCAGGTCCCCCTACCACAATTACTCTCTCACTTGGTTCAAAGCTCCCTATACATTCACTTTAACATCTCCCAAAATCCTCTCTCCTCTCCTCTCAATCCTCTCTTCCTCCAAGGTGCATGACAACACGCTATTATGACCCACTTCTTCTCTCGCATCCCAACCTTTTTTACTTTAGAATCCACATAAATCTCGAATTTACACATCATATCTCTTTCTCCTCCATAACTGATTTTTTTTTCCAATTTTAAACATTACTGCACCCCCCCTCCTTTGCTCTAACGATTCTCTCAGATACTCCAGATTTAAATCCCATTTATTTTTCCCCCAAGAAACTCTCCTACCCCCTTCAGCTTTGTTTCGCTTAGAGCCAGGACATCCAACTTCTTTTCAATCATAACATCAGGTACAATCATCCTGTTTCTTGTCAACCCACTAACACTCCACGCACATTTAAACAACCCAGTTTTTAATAAAGTTTTTCTTTCTTCTCTTTTTAGTAAAATGTATACAGGAGAAGGGGTTTCCTAGAGGCCCCAATGCTCCCGGCATTTTAGTCGCCTCATATGACACGCATCGCTTACGGAGGAAAGATTCTTTTCACACTTCCCCATGGACAATAGAAGGAAATAAAAAAGAACAGAGCTATTTAGGAATAGGAGAAAAACCGAGAAGTATGTATAAATATATATGCATTGCGTGTATGTGAAGTGTGACCAAAGTGTACCGTTGGCCCCTCTATAAACATGACAATCTGAAGTCTACTCAACAGTCTTTTATCTACACCAATACCATAATCCAACAAAATACTACATATCGCCCTACCATCATATCTTGTATACCTGTTATTTATCCCTTTTTTCTTACAATAAGTATTACCTATAACTAAAACCCCTTTCTAATACAAAGTTCAATCAAAGAGGCACCTCATTTTCATTTACACCTGGCACCTCCAAACTTACCTACACACCCTCTCTAAAAGTTTCTCCTACTTTAGCATTCAGGTCCCCTACCACAATTACTTTTACTCTCTCACTTGGTTCACAGGCTCCTATACATTCAACTTAACATCTCCCCAAATCTTCTCCTCTCTCTCTCTCCTCTACTATTCCTCTCTTCTCCCATGTGCATACCCCTTATTATTACCCAACTTTTCGCATCCAACCTTTACTTAAATCCACATAATTCTTGAATTTACACATTCAATATTCTCCTTTTTTCCTTCCCTAAAACTGATCCTTCTCAATAATAATACTGCTACCCCTTCGCTTTGCTCTAACGGGATTTGGGAAATGGGGGGGTCTCTCAGATACTCTAGATTTAATCCCATTTATTTCCCCTCCCCCACCGAAACTCCCCCTACCACCTTCATCTTTGTTTCGCTTAGGAGCATGACATCCAACTTCTTTTCATTCATAACATCAGCAATCATCGTTTCTTGTCATCTGTACTACATCCACACACATTCAAGCATCCCAGTTTTATTAAGTTTTCTTCTTCTCTTTTTTAGTAAATGGTCTACAAGTGAGAAGGGGTTACTAGCCCATTGCACCCCGAGCAAATTTTTAGTCGCCTCATATACACACATTGCTTACGGAGGGAAAGATTCTTTTTTCCACTTCCCCATGGACAATAGAAGAAATAAAGAAGAACAAGAGCTAATTAGAAAAGGAGAAAAACCTAATCTTTCTTTCTTTCATCACAACCGGCCGTAAGCCCACCAAGGTAGGGGTTGGCCCAAAAGGAAAAACAAAAGTTTCTTCTTCCTTTCACATTTTAGTAATATAACAAGGAGAAGGGGTTACTAGCCCCTTGGGCTCCCCGTCATCTTTTAGTTGCCTCTTACAACATGCATGGCTTATGGATGAAGAATTCAGTTCCTCACATTTCCCTATGGAGATAAAGGAAACAGACAAGAACAAGAACTAGAAAAGAAGATAGAAGAAAAAACCCAGAGGGGATGTATATATATGACTTGTACATGTACGTACGTGTAGTGTGACCTAAGTGTAAGTAGAAGTAGCAAGACTGTACCTGAAATCTTGCATGTTTATGAAACAGAAAAAAGGACACCAGCAATCCTACTATCATGTAAAACAATTACAGGCTTTCGTTTTACACTCACTTGGCAGGACGGTAGTACCTCCCTGGGCAGTTGCTGTCTACCAACCTACTACCTACCTACTAAATATTATACACTTATTTATAACTGTTTTTTAAGCTGAATGGTAGGGTATACTGTATATATACATATGCTGTATACAAATACAAACTTTTTCCCACACACAGTAATTTCCAAAGGGTAATTACTGTAAGTATATTTGAAGTGTATAGTGCACATTTCATATGAGGGATGAACAAAAAGTTCTAACATAGCTTTTGTTTTAAAGATTAGTGTATAAACCACATTTTTAGTAGCTGCCCTCTTGAAAGTACCGTCCCCTAGATGATATGTACTTGTCCCAAAGTTTTTGCCACTTTCAGAAGCAATCCTGGAAATCCCTTAACTGTAGGTTATTGAGCTCTGCTGTGACATTCATTTGGATGATTGTAATGCATCAGATCTTCCTTTTAGCTTCATTTTGATTATTAATAACAGAAAAAAGTCATAAGCTCAGGTTTATGTGGAGGATGTGGTATTACAGGAATTGTTTTTTTTTTTAGTCAAAATTTTTTGAATGGAGGCAACAAACTGTTTGTGAAGGAGCATTGTTATAGTGCAGAAACAATCAGCCATTTTCACACAACTTGCAATGTTTTCTGATTTGATCCCTTGCTCACATCAAAACCTCCTTAAAAAAAGCCTGATTGATTGTTTGACCACTCAGCACATCACAGATCATTGCCACCACAGTACTACCTGTAATAGTAAATCTGAAAACATTTTGATCAAACATCATATGGTATTTTTGAACAGGGTTAAAATGAAATCTTTTATTTCTTGTATGCACTTACATAAACTTGATTTTTAACATTGTTCAACATAAAAATCTAACACTATACCACATTAAACAGTATAATAAAAAATATTAAAGATATTAGTTGTTCATACAAACAAAATTGTCAACGAACATAGTGAAGACAATGATAGACTGAATGTCGTACTGGAGGAGGAGTATGTAGAAAGCAGAAGTGCAGTGCCTAGATATTTGGGAGTGTCCCACTGCTTTGTAGGTAATGCACTCGCCTCACACACACACACACTTAGTGTGTGAGGCAGTGCACTTGCTTCACACATTGAGTGTCCATGGTTCAGTCCCCGGCCGGGTGGAAGCATTGGGCATGTTTCCTTACACCTGCTGTCCCTGTTCACCTAGCAGTAAGTAGGTACCTGGGTGTTTGTCGACTTGTGTGGGTCGCATCCTGGGGGACAAGTTCTAAGGACCCCAGCGGAAATGAAACAGGCAGTCCCTGATGACACACTGACTTTCTTGGGTTATCCTGGGCGGCTAACTCTCCAAGTTAAAAATCCCAACAAATCTTACCTTATCGTATGTCAGCCAGTGGGTCTATGAAAGACTTAGTGAAACTAGAATAGAGGATAAAGAAAAAGTTACTGTAGGTGATAGATTCAAGCATCAGCGAAAAGAAAGAAGTTTATATATTAAGGTAAAGCAAGTAATGTACAAGAGTATGTATATAATGTTTGTTAGGAAAGAGGACAGGAGTTTCCTGACGTGGGTCTTAGTCATATGATGACTCGTAGATGGAGATATTGGTCATCTGACCAAGGCGTTGCCAGACACCTGCTCAACTTGTCATACCATATAGTTGCCATACATTTTTTTCCTTAAATTTCCTTTTTACTACTATGTATTAATTTTTTTTCAGAGCACTCTATTTTCAAAGACGTTGGATCCATCTAATTCTGCAGCACTTAAAACTTTAGATTCTACACTGCGGGAACTTCTCTCTCTTTGGTTCACAGTTGGACTCTTAAATGTTCAGCGCATTACCTGGGAATCACCATGCAATATGCTACAAAAGGTTTGTTAAGAGATTTGTTATGGATCTGTTTTATATACTGTATAAATCTTACCTAATAAGTAGAAACAAATTTGTAGGGTGTAAGTGTTGCCCAGTTAATTACAATTGCCTTTGAGTGTGTGAGGCAGTCACAGATATTACATCCAGATTATTTTTACAGATTCTTTTGAAAATAGAACTGTAACAAAGTCTTAGTAAATACATTGTATGACAATTTCAGAGATAGTGCATAAAAAATTATCTATAAAAATCTTGAGTATAAAGCTACTATACAGACATAAAAATAATTTCATAAATGTACGCCTAACTGTACACAAATGCACACTCATATACATCATAAAACAATTAAATACATGTCTGTTTACTACATACTAGTAAATAGGGACAGCAGTTATTTGGAAACTTGATCATACATATAACCCCACCAGGACTGAACCTGGGTTCCTTTGGTTATGCCACAAACACTAATTACCAAACTATAAAGTTAAGTTTGTATCCAGAGTATAACTACTTGTGATGTTTTGTTGCATTAACTCAACTGGTTTGCAAATGTCCAGGGATATAAAAAAAAACTACATTATTTTTATCTGTGTGTGTGTGGCAGTAACGACACCAAAGCATGTTTTCATCTGTAAATATGCTCATTTCCAGTCCCAGCAAATTTTATTCTTACTGCAAGTACACAAAACAAAGTAATTTTGGTAATAATCTTACCAGAATATTCATCTTATTGCTATACCTCCATAATGCTGGTATTCTTTCAACTATACACTGCTCCTCTCTTTATTCATTCTTTTAGGTTCGTCACTCACATTTACCTGCTGTTTAAAAAAATTAATGAATTTTATATTCCATCATGCTGAAAATACTGAAAATTTGTGCACTCTGTCTCCAGGTATCAGAATATGAAGCCGTTCATCCTGTCCGCAACTGGACTGATTTAAAGCGTCGTGTGGGCCCTTACCGTAGATGCTTTATTTTCACTCACTCATGCATGCCGAAGGAACCCCTTGTGGTGCTACATATCTTCCTTACAAATGAAATACCTGATTCCATGGCCAAAATATTGCAAACTTCAAGATCTTCTTCAATAGGTATGTTAAAAGTACCTGGGATTGAATCTTGAATGAGAGAAGACATATTGGCAAGTCTACTTTTATCTGTATTCCCGGTTGGCCTAGTCAAAAATAGGTATTAAGGAATTACTCGGATGTTGTGGGTTACATCCTTAGGAAAAAACCTGAGGATCCAAACAAAATAAACCACACTGCTTGCTTTTCTTGGGCAAATATTAAAGTGTTAGAGAAAGGGGTAGTCACAAAGGATAAACATTCATATATACAATAATAGTTATTGAGTTGCCATGTACATATGACACAATGTTACATGAAGTTAAGAGTGAAAGTACCAGTAGAAATGAAAAAGGTGATGAAAATAAGTAGAGTTACAGTTTTTGGAATGAAAGATTAAAAGGGATGAATTAGAAGGAAGATGCATGGAGAATATGAATCAGTTTTGATTCTTAGGAGAGGGTGTATCAGTAGATAGGGCTATGAAAACTTGAGGTAAATTATAGAATTGATGTGGGGAAAAGAGCTGCAGATATTTTAAGGGTCTATAAAAACAAGGAAGCCTGTCAGTGGATGAAAAAAAAATGGTAATATATCATAATATGATGCCAGTGCATTTAATATGTAGAAGCATGTAATATGTAGGAGAAGTTTGAAGACAGTTAAAATGTATTGTCTTGAGATCACTATATTATATGAATATTATGCATAGAATAAGGATTAGTGTAAGGGGTATAATGTAAAAAATAGAAGAAAGGTTGATGAGATGGTTTGGTTATGTCAAAAGATTGAGAACAACCCCTACCCCGCATTCCCTCCACTACAGATTTGTACACCCTCTAAGTCATCCCATAGGGGTCATGCAGCACTTAAGTAAAGGGAGATATGTAATTAGTCTTGATTTGAAGATGGGGAAGGCAGCTAAAACTTGTATCAAGAGCCCATCATCAGCATCAAAGCACTTTCTTGAAGGAGGCTTCTGCTGAAGAAACTAAACATGCTGCAGTCAATCATTCAAATGAATAGGATGTTTTACATTGATATTAATTTGATATAAAAATTTATCAATTAGCCATATATTTATTGTGATGCTCATTATTTTTTTTTTTCATTTTAATTTGTCTCTGCAGGAAAAAGTTTACCTAGGAAAAGTTCAGTTTATGGTAAAGTATGTTACATATTTCACCAGATGAAACCAGTGTCAGCAAGGACAGTGAAGATCCATCATTAATCAACACAGCTATATTTTACTCCATAACATCAACACAGAAAGGACTTCAGGTAAAATTAAAAAGGAAATGCTTTCATAATGTTTTTCTTTTTACATTTAGTAATTTATATAGGAGAAGGGTTACTAGCCCTTTGCTCCCAGCATTTTAGTTGCCTCTTATGACATGCATGGCTTACATAGGAAGTTTTCTTCTCCACTTCCCCATGGAGGTTAACCTAGTAATAATAATAAAAAATATGTAATTGTAAATTTAATACATGCCTATATATATACTGAATGACTCCCTTCTTTTGCCCTTGTGCTCACCCTTGGCATTTCTGCCTTTCTTTTATATTGTCTGCTTCATATTTGCATTGCAGTGTTGAATAATACACACAGGTTTAACCCTTAAACGGTCCAAACAGATCAACGTTCAAATTTGTAGCGCTACAAAAGTAGATCTATTTTTTTTTTACATATTTTCAAATATAACAAAAAAAATGTAGATAAAAGTTTTTTTACACGTTTTCAAATGTAAAACAAAAAAGAAGATCTACATTTTTTTACATACTTTCAGATGTTGAAAAAAACGTATGTATACGTTTGGACCGTTTAGGGTTAATGCTTTTTATGAATATTATAATAATAATAATACTGTAATAATAATAATAATACTGTAATAATAATAATACTGTAACAATAATAATACTCTCATGCCTCTGGCAAGAGAGTAATAGTGTAAATGATGGTGAAAGTGTTTCTTTTTCGGGGTCACCTTGTCTCAGTGGGAGACGGCCAGCATGTTAAAAAATAATAATATAATAATTTAAAGCCTTTATCCATGTGTTTCATGAAGAATATAAGGGAAGTCGTGAAATTTAGCCACAGAGAAAGGTACAGTAATTAAATTTCAAGCACTTATAATATCTCAGTCACATTCTTAACAGATAAGCTCTGTTTCTTTAGAATGTGATTGATTTATTGTGAATGTCCCTGAGGGAGGAAGTATGGAACAAGTTAGTGTATTTAAATACTTAGGAGTGAATGTGTCTGCAGATGGATATTTTTTTTTTTTTTTTTTTTTTTTTTTTTTAACAAGTCGGATATATGAAAGACAAAAGCAATTGCTGTATACTGTACACAAGAAAAAATAGGTAAGTTTAGTGTTGAGGTTTCTGTAGAGTGAAAGTTTATCACTGAAGACAAAAAAACATGAAAGTACCAGAGTATAGTGATACTAACACTTTTTTATAAGTTTGAGGCATCGTTTTTTAATTTTACAGCATAAAGGAGGCTGGAGGCAGTCGAGATATCATGTTTAACATCACACTGTTTTCCTTTGAATAAAATTCTAATGACATTACTGTTAAAGTTTATGTGAATCTTTGCTGCTAAATTTTGTTATAATACACAATTTTAAAATTACTTTTAACTTATAATTTTTATACCATTCTTGTTTATTAAGCACACATTTGCATGATCCTGCAAGAGAGAGAGAGAGAGAATTGCAGAAATTCTCTATGAAAATTTTTACTTGATTATTGTATAGGGTATTAATATTATTTATTACCATTATGCTTTTATGTTTTTTCTTGTAGACAACTTCTGTTTATAAAGCTTATACTTTTCAGGGCATTGAGCTTGGAAATTACCTAATTAAAAAAGTAGTACATGAAATGAAGGCTGAATTTCCCAGCATGTCTCAGTTTTCCACTCTGTCACCCATACCTGGCTTTGTCAAGTGGTTGAATGGCATGATGGCAAGAGCACAAAGAGGTAATTGCCATATTATTTAATTTATTGGGAAGTGCTAAACCTGTAGGGGTCATGCAGCACCTGGTTAATGGGAGGTAATCAGGTTTGATTTTAGTTCAGGAAGAATTGAAACATTGTCCAGCTTACATATCCAATTTAGGGCTTGTGATTTGTTCCAACCACTATAGTTGTGATTTTTATTCTTTCCAAGGAAGTTCTTAAATGAAGTTACCCTCTCAAAGAATTTTTAACCCTTAAACTGTCGAAACGTAGATCTACGTTCAATTTTACATGCTTTCTTATGTAAAAAAACGTAGATCTACGTTCAGAGCGCTACGCCAGTGAACATAGATCTACATTTGGACAGTTTAAGGGTTAAAAGGAATAGAGTACCGAGAATATCAACCTTTCTCATTCACATGTGTTGTATTGGTACTTGATAGCCATCAAATAAACTCTGACATGCAGCCACAAACTATAATAAGAAATCTCTCTACACTAAGGATGCATGTGGCTTACCAAGCCTAACCTATTGTAACAAGACTTAAATCTAAATGTATTTCATACATAAAAATTTTTAGGTATGAAATGCATTCTTCATGAATACATTTCATACATACATGTACATGTATTTATATATGCTTCTAAACTGTTGTATCTGGGCACCTCTGCAAAGACAGTGATTATGTTTGAGTGAGGTGAAAGTGTTGAATGATGATGAAAGTATTTTCTTTTTGGGGATTTTCTTTCTTTTTGGGCCACCCTGCCTAGGTGGGAGACAGCTGACTTGGTGAAAAAAAAATGTACATAAGTCAAATTTTTATTTGTTGAATATTGATTACCAGTATTGCATACACAAAAGAAATCCATGAGAATGAGGCAATTTTGACATGTTGAGGAAAACTTACATATGCTAATATTGTCTATAATTTGAAAATGTTAATTTAATGAATGTTGTTTACAGTTTTTTGCAGTTTTATATTTTAAGACATTTGTTTTTCTCTAGGTGATGCTCACATATTCACAGAAACAGAGGTAAATGCACTTCAAATATTCCTGGAAGTGGATTCCTCCCCAGAAGTATACGAGCGCCTTCGGAAATTATTTACGACAAATGGTTGGATAGAGGAATTAGATGTGGTGGAAACTCTAGAAGCTCCATTAATGAGGCTGTGTGCCTATTACCTTTTTACAGAGAAGAGAAGAAATTATACACTTGATAGTGTAGGTAAGTGATGAAATAATTTAGTTGATTAGTACTTAAGGGGCATATTTAAACTGACATTAATCTTCCGTTAAACCAGACATGACGTACATTGTATATACACGTACTTTACAGCAATATAGAAACTAGACTGATCATACAAATAAGCATAATTCAAAGTATTGAATTTTTATATGCAGTGGTAGTAATGTGTCCATTTCTGAAAACATGGGAACAAGCTAAAAAAAAATTTCAAAGATGAGCTATAAAATTACTTCCAGAGCTAAAAAAATAAAGTAAAATAAAGAATTAGTAATAAAAAAAAAAATGGCATTTAGAAGTAAAAAAGAGGAAATGTATAAACAACATAAAAGAGTACAAAAGGATATTAAGTTTCAGTAAGGATGATTTCCTGGCACTATCAACAGGGGGAAGAAAAGGCCATAGTTATAAACTAAGGAAAAATAGAGTTTTTGAGATAGTACCAGAAGACTTTTTTTTTTTCTTGCAAAAGTTGAATGACAGTAAATAGTATAACCACTGAACTCTTGAAAGATTATAATACTGAAGACAGGTCACCATGAGCTTAACTCAGCTCCTGTAAATACAAATACAAATACAGTACATAGTTTTAAATTAATTATGGCCTTGCATATTATTCCTTCAGTCAACTTATGTCATATGAGGTTTAGTCCTGTATTGCGTAGGGAGGAAAAAATCATTAGATATATGTGTGTCTTCTCCATGGGGAAATGGAACAGAATTCTTCCTCTGTAAGCCATGCGTGTCGTAAGAGGCGACTAAAATGCCAGGAGCAAGGGGCTAGTAACCCCTTCTCCTGTATATATTACTAAATTTAAAAGGCGAAACTTTCGTTTTTCCTTTTGGGCCACCCCACCTCAGTGGGATATGGCTGGTGCGTTGAAAGAAGAATATGCGTGTCTCACAGAATGTGCAGGTAGCATATAGCTTATGGCACCATGACAGGGAGATATGAACATTTTTAGTTGGCAAGTAACCATGTCGTATTCAACAACCATTTTAGATATTTATTTTAATCCTTTATTTTTAATCAGATTTGTATTATAATTGTTCTTGATATATTAAACCTGTTAGATTTGGACGTCCCCTAATGTTGCATGAACGTTGTATATTGCAAAGGTTTGCTTTTAAATTTAAACCATCAAATATTAGAGCCTACAGGACTAGAAAGTAAGCTGGACCTCATCTTCACTAACAACGACGATCTGATATCTAATATAACCATATCAAAAACAATACACTCAGTTCACAACATAATAGAGGTACAGTCATGTATGCACAGGGCTCCTGACCAGCAAAATGTGATTAGTCATGAAGGTCTTTTCACAAAATTTAATTTTAATAACAAAAACATACAGTGGGATCAGGTTAACTATGTCCTAAATAAAACAAGCTGGGAAGATATCCTAAACAACACGGATCCAAACATTTGCCTAGATAAAATGAACTCTGTGGTCCTTGAGATGTGCTCAAGACACATTCCATTAAGAAAAAGAAAGAGAAGATGTAAACTAGAAAGAGAGAGACTCTCCCTATACAGATGAAGGCGAAGAGTCATGGAGCTGTGCAAGAAAGGTATAAAATACTGTCTTCCAATTATGTCCTAGAATCTGTATTCATAAAGCCACTGGATGGCGAAACGTCTACAATAAAGATATCCAGATGTTGCACATGTGTCTTAACTTTCAGTCATGGAGTTGCTGAGAGGGGCCAATTGCTGGAATAAGTGTAGAAACCTTCAAGAGGAATCTGGACAAGTATCTTCACCAGGTGCCAGATCAACCAGGCTGTGATGGATATGTGGGGCAGCAACAGCCTGGTTGACCAGGCAAGCACCAGACGAGCCTGGCCCATGGCCAGACTCAGAGAGTAGATTAACTCTCAAAACTATTCAAAGGTATATCTGGAGAGAGAGAAAAAAAATCCAAGAAAAACAAAATCTCCATTTTTTTTTGGGGGGGGGCTGGTTTGAGGGTCCTAGTATTAACATAAAACCAAAAATAGTGAGTGCAGGGAAATGTTTTTTTTTTTTTTTCACTGTGTTCATTAAAGTATGCCAGGTGGAGGCATCCAGCTTACTTTAAAGTTGAAAATAATATCCTACTCTGGTAGGAGTTTAGGTGAGAAAAAAAAGATATGCTGGCCTTGCAACTTGTAGTGGGACATCTCATGATTCCATAAGGCTACTGGCTGCATTCTAAGTGCTTTCTAGTCTTGTGGATGGATTTGTGCCCATGGTCTCCCTGTGCTATATGGCCTTGAGTGCTGAGAATGTTGGACATTTTTGGCCATAAATAAATTAATATAAGCAGGAGTTTGTTGCTGAGACAAGAAACAATTGTACAGGTCATTGGATTGCATAAGGCAGGCCATCAAATGAAGGAAATAGCAGAAGTCACTGGTATGTGTGAGTGTTCAGTGAGGTTGGAGTTGCATCAGTTCCTTGAGGAAAATGTTGATGAATGCCCACATCAAAGGCACATCCAGAGAAGCCTAGAAAAACATCCCTATAAATGTTAACTATAATAACATACTAGTACCTAGAATTGCTGTGATCAATTTGCTTGAATCCTTCACACAATGTAGTGCAATGATTTTTATGCAAGACAGCGCTTTGTGCCACACTGTTGTTCAGTGACTTTGTGATGGTGAGGTACTTTTCTTCATTGACCATCCAGGAAATTCCCCAGACTTCTGAACCCCATTGAGAACCTCTGGGCTATGATAAAGAGAGGTCTGCTAGGGAAAGAATATCAACCCACTCATATAGATGGAAGTCACCATCCTTGAGTCATGGGGCAATTTACCCTAGAAAATCCAGATGAATATGTGTAAATCACTTCCTAAACAGTTGAGGAAAGTCCTAGACTACAACAGACGACCTGTTTTGTGGTTGTGGTTTAAGAGGGGATGGCATATATAAATGACAAGCACTAAATATTACTTGAATTTCTTCTTTCTTCTTTCAACAAATTGGCCATATCCCACTAAGGCAGGGTGGCCCAAAAAGAAAAACCAAAGTTTCTCTTTTTAACTTTAGTAATGTATACAGGAGAAGGGGTTAGTAGCCCCTTGCTCCTGGCATGTTAGTTGCCTCTTACGACACATATGGCGTACAAAGGAAGAATTCTGTTTCACTTCCCCATGGAGAATTACTTGAATTTATCCTTACATATTATATGAGCAACTTTGTTCTGTAACATGAAGCATTAGGCCAGATAAAAAAAAATATCATCTGGTAAGTGATCACAATAATTCTAATATTGCACTCTATATGTATAGATAGAACCAGAATGTCAGTTTGCATTATATATCATATAGTATTTCTGTCTTCCTCCAGATTTACAGATTCAGGTTTATCTAGCTTTTACACAATATAATATTATTTTAAAGATGAATATCAACTTAATGTAAGTACACTGGCAGCTGAATATTATACCCATTTTAAGTGGCATTTTTCAGCTAACTTTCATCTAAAAAATGGAGCTGTTATGTGGCGCATCAATTGGCTCGCTGATCGCTCACCACGGGGCCTTGCCAACTCTTGCGGAATTATGGTCAATTACAGGTCAGTGAGAACTTGGCAGGATTTTATTATATCCCTATAGATTCACTACTGCAGAGGCCCTCTCATTTCCAGCAAGACTGTGTTCAACTGAGGACTCTAACCATAAAAAAAATACATGAAAACAATATAAGGCACCTAAAAAATGAGACATAAAGGGCAATTTTAATATTTTATTCATTCATTAAACCTTTTCTTGCCTTCCTCTTGGGTAAAATCTAGCTTACCTGCAATGTCACAGTTGATGCTCAACATAATTGATTTTAGAATTGGGTGTGAAGGTTAAGTAGCTAATCAGATAAAGTTTCAGTGTTATCAGATGAGTAATAGAGAATTTCACAAATGTTAACAGGAGGGGTGTTAATTTTTTTTTTTTTTCTTTTTTTTTTCAACAAGTCGGCCGTCTCCCACCGAGGCAGGGTGACCCAAAAAAAAGAAAGAAAATCCCCAAAAAGAAAATACTTTCATCATCATTCAACACTTTCACCACACTCGCACATTATCACTGTTTTTGCAGAGGTGCTCAGAATACAACAGTCTAGAAGCATACACATATAAAGATACACAACATATCCCTCCAAACTGCCAATATCCCAAACCCTCCTTTAAAGTGCAGGCATTGTACTTCCCATTTCCAGGACTCAAGTTGCAGTTTAAAAACTGTAGTGTAAAGCACCCTTCTGGCAAGACAGTGATGGAGTGAATGATGGTGAAGGTTTTTCTTTTTTGGGCCACCCTGCCTTGGTGGGAATCGGCCAGTGTGTTAATAAATAAAAAATATTTGGTGGTGAAAGTGTTGAACGATGATGAAAGTTTTTTTTTGGGGGGGAGGGGTTCTTTCTTTGAGTCACCATGCCTTGGTGGGAAATGGCCAATGTGTTAAAAAAAATATATATTTGAGCAATATAACCATCACTATACAGTGGAAATAGGAAGGGCAAACTGAATGAGTGTATTAGTCTAAACAATTTTTTTTTTTAACACACTAGCAGTTTCCCACTGAGGTAGGGCAACCAAACAAATCACCAATTTGATATTTTGGGAAGAAAGTTGCAAGGAGCATACACATGTTGTCAAATACAGTATGTATATGAGGTTTTTTGTAAGTGCAATTAATGAGCTTAATTTCTACAGTAATTTTTTTCCATTACAGGTATTTCCTGGAGGAGTGCGAATGTAATAGTAGAACATATCTGGAAACCATGAAAGTTATTGCATCAGATACAGTCACATTCCTAGCAAAGGCTGCTGAAGATATTATAAAGAAAAGTCCAAGTGACCCAGGTTCCTCTCCATTGCTTCCTCGAAGTCCATCACCACCTGTCATTACCATCACTCCTGATTCAAAGATTTAATTTATTAAATAGTGATAGATGGTTGCACACTGAGAATTTTCAATCATTTGGAATTTAGTTGTATAAAATATATAGCTTCATGTTGTAGTAAGTTAAAATTTTAGGTGTTTGGATTATGCCATCAATCCATCTCACAATATAGGAATTGTTAATAATTATTTAAACAGTAGCACAAATTTTATAAAAGTTTTAATGAGTAATTAAATATTTTTTAAGCTATTTATAAAAAATAATTTGTATAATTTTATTTGTTTAAATTTTTAACCTGCTGATTTTTTTTTTTAACATATTGGCTATTTCCCACCAAAACTGGGTGATCCAAAAAAAGAAAAACTCAGAAAGAAAGAAAAAATTTTCATCATCATTCAACACTTTCGCCATCACTCATACATAATCACTGTCTTTGCCGAGGTGCTCAGTTACGGCAGTTGAGACGTCCCTCCAAACTGCCAATATCCTAAACCCCTCCTTTAAAGTGCAGGCATTGTACTTCCCATTTCTAGAACTGAAGTCTGGCTAACCAGGAAACCTGCTGAAATATTTATATTATATTCATCCTTTTAAAAATATATATCCTCAAAAATAATATACTAAGTGCCAGTAGCTCTCATAAAGCAGAATTTGATATACAATATAATATTAATGTTGGTTATTCAAACATTTACCATGTATGTATTATTTATTTATTCTAAGCCCATGGTTTCCACTTTTCAGGAGTATACAGTAATAATAGTGTATGATCTTAGAATGCTTGTACAAAAAAATATGCGTTCCCAGCGAGCAGTGTGCCTAAATCACACCTAAGCTCTTGCCTCACTTATCATCAGACAGAGCATTGGCCATGTATGCATTAAGTTGAACACAATATCTGAAATACTTGCTGCATACTTTTTCTAGTCACAATTTGTATATACAGTATATGAAATATCTGGTTTTTGTGATTTTAAATTATAGCTTAAAAAATATATGAGGATGATGCCTGTAACATTGTCACATAAATGGGTAACTGAAATAAAGGTCATGAATTCAGGCAATAAAGATTTTAGCCAAAAAATGTGTTACTTACTACCTTACATAGATATGTTGCTACACTATTATTATTGGTTTAGAACTTCCCAGTTTAATAATAATGTATAATACTGTACTGTACAGAATATGAAATAAAGTGAAGCTTTAAATGTGAAGGTAAAGTGAACTTGATAAGAGGTTTTTTATGCACTGTGACATAGATGTGACCAGTTTCATGGGTTCTTCTACTCTCCCATCTCATCCTGAGACCAAGCTTTCATGTTGGCTGCTTGATCAGTAAGGCTGTTGCAATTAGCAGCCCACTGGCCAGCATAACAATCACAACTTAGCAAATCAGGCATCTGGCATGAAGTGCAAATGTAAGAAATGTTCACTGACATGGAAAAGATAGACCAAATTATACATTTGTCACCAAGAAAACAATGATGGTAAATACAGGAGTTGGTATGAAATTACAGTGAGTGTAAAAGACTAAAGTTTAATAATTGTCTGTGATATAACTGACATAGCTGTGATCAGTTTTGAGTTGTTCTAGCCTCACTTTGAAAGTGTTTGACCCCTGGCAGTTTTTCTGGTTTGCCCACCAACACCCCCAGCAGTCTCAAAAATGCTTTCTCAGTGATCAACTGACCCCTTCAAGAGGGATGGGGCTCTCTTGCTGTCATCAAGGGGCTCTTGATCCAGTGAATTTGATTTTTTAATTCCCCTCCCCCTTTCTCAGATCCACTTTCAATTCTCTCCAATTGTCCCCCTCCTTTTGGCCTAATTAGTGAGGATACTTCACCTTTTACAGCAACCACCCAGGGAGATGCTACCGTCCTGCCAAGTGAGTGTATAACGAAAGTCTGTAATTGTTTTACATGATGGTAGGATTGCTGGTGTCTTTTGTCTCTCATAAATATGCAAGATTACAGGTACGTCTTGCTACTTCTACTTACACTTAGGTCACACTGCACATACATGTACAAGTATATATATACACACCCCTCTGGGTTTTCTGCTATTTTCTTTCTAGTTCTTGTTCTTGTTTATTTCCTCTTATCTCCATGGGGAAGTGGAACAGAATTCTTCCTCCGAAAGCCATGTGTGTTGTAAGAGGCAACTAAAATGCAGGGGGCAAGGGGCTAGTAATCCCTTCTCGTGTATATATTACTAAATGTAAAAAGAGAAACTTTCATTTTTTCCTTTTGGGCCACCCTGCCTCAGTGGGATACGGCCGGTGTGTTGAAAGAAGACTTCCCCTTTTACAGCAACCACCCAGGGAGATACTACCGTCCTGCTAAGTGAGTGTATAACGAAAGCCTGTAATTGTTTTACATGATGGTAGGATTGCTGGTGTCTTTTTTTCTGTCTCATGAACATGCAAGATTTCAGGTACATCTTGCTACTTCTACTTTAACTTTGGCCACACTACACATACATGTACAAGCATATATATACACACCCCTCTGTTTTTTCTGCTATTTTCTTTCTAGTTCTTTTTCTTGCTTATTTCCTCTTATCTCCATGGGGAAGTGGAACACAATTCTTCCTCTGTAAGCCATGCGTGTTATAAGAGGTGACTAAAATGCTGGGAGCAAGGGGCTAGTAATCCCTTCTCCTGTATAAATTACTAAATTTGAAAAGAGAAACTTTTTGTTTTTCTTTTTGGGCCACCCTTCCTTGGTGGGATACGGCCAGTTTGTTGAAAGAAAGAACTTTTCCTTTTACAACAACCACCCAGGGAGATACTACCGTCCTGCCAAGTGAGTGTATAACGAAAGCCTGTAATTGTTTTACACAATGGTAGGATTTGCTCGTGTATTTTTTCCGTTTCATAAACATGCAAGATTTCAGGTACATCTTGTTACTTCTATTCACATTTAGGTCACACTACACATGCATGTACAATCATATATATACACACACCCTTCTGGGTTTTCTTCTATGTTTCTTACTAGCTCTTGTTCTTGTTTATTTCCACTTATCTCCATGGGGAAGTGGAACAGAATTCTTCCTCCAAAAGTCATGCGTGTTGTAAGAGGCAACTAAAATGCCAGGAGCAAGGGGCTAGTAACCCTTTCTCCTGTATATATTACTAAACGTAAAAGGAGAAACTTTCGTTTTTCCTTTTGGGCCACCCCGTCTCGGTGGGATACGGCTGGTGCGTTGAAAGAAGAGAAAGATTCCCCTTTTGTGAGATCCACCTGGTGGACAGAAAAATGAATCACTATCAGCCTTGTTGTACTGTAGCTTTCATCGGTAGTGCTGTGGTGATAGTGTTACTTCACCTGAAGGAATTTGACTTACCTTTGGAAACATCAGATGATCCTCTGGTGAGACACTGGGAGGCCATATGGCCTCCTAGAATGGTTTGTTAACACAGGGAAAAATGGTGCACCAAGTTAACACAGGGAAGCAGGAATGGTGCTTTAACACAGGGATGTAAGAATGGTGCGTCAAGTTACCGCAGGGATGTAAGAATGGCATGTCAAGTTAACATAGATGTAAGAATGGTGTGTCAAGTTAAAGCAGGGATGTAAGAATAGTGCATCAAGATAACATATTTGTTGGCTGTAGTGTGACTATAACCTCCTAAGTTAACAAAAAATGAAGAGACCGCTGTATGGGTAGTGAGGACGGGCAGGGCTGCAGCAGATGGCCTTCAGCAACACCAAATAAGCTGTTGCCACTAGCTGCACTGCAACTCGTTAGAAAATTCAACTCTTTGTCACTTTTTGAGACTAAGAGTTCATGATAAGTTATGATTGCAGTGACCAGTTTGAAAGTACAGTGGTACCTCAAGTTACAAACTTAATTCGTTCCAGAAGGCTGTTTGAGTGCCGATTCTGAACGAATTTGTTCCCATGAGGAATAACGTAAATTAATTAATTTACATTATTCCTTATGGAAACATTTCAGACCCCAAAAATACATACACTTACAAGAGCACTTACAAAAATACACTTACATAATTATTCGAGTTGGGAGCTGTTCGAAACTCAAGGTACCACTGTACTATAGTAAACAAGCTATTATATGGCAGACTTCCTTCTCATGGCTCATGTACACTTTATGTTGCCTTCATGGCTCATGTACTCTTAATGTTGCCTTCATGGCCTGGGAGCATTAAGAGGCATGTGCTTGCCAGAGTAGGTCTTACTAAGGTGTTTTTATGAGGGTTGAGTCTCAGCTCCTGGCCCATGTTTTATTTCACTGTCTACACCTTATCTTTCTCTCTCTCTCTCTCCCACATACATGTTCCTACCATTTTTGTTTGTTCTTCTCTCTTACAGTCCTCCCTTCATCCCAAACTCATCCTACCTTCCCCACACTTCCCCACTTCCCCTCATCTTTCCTACATCTCCCACTTCATCCTTACACCCCCATTCCAACTTCCTCGTACCTCCTTTCCCTGTCTCATCTACCCCCACTTCTCTGCCTCCATCTAACCCAACTTTCCTGCCTCATCTACCACCCCTTCCTGCCTTATCTACCCCCACTTCCCTGCCTCATCTACCTCCACTTCCCCACCTCATCGACCACCACTTCCTCACCTCATCTACCCCCACTTCCCTGCCTCATCTACCCCTACCTCATCGTCCACCACTTCCCCACCTCATCTACCCCCATTTCCCTGCTTCATCTACCCCCCTTCCCTTCCTCATCTACCACCACTTCCCCACCTCATTGACCACCACTTCCCCACCTCATCTACCCCCACTTCCCCACCTCATCTACCCCCACTTCCCTGCCTCATCTACCCCCACTTACCTGCTTCATCTACCCCCACTTCCCCACCTCATCTACCCCTGCTTCCCCACCTCATCTACCCCTGCTTCACCACCTCATCTACCCCCATTTCCCCACTTCATCTGCCCTTGCTTCCCAGCCTCATCAACCCCCACTTCCTTCCCTCATCTACCCACACTTCCCTGCCTCATCTACCCCTACTTCCCCACCTCATCGACCACTGTTCTATCTAGGCTGGAATATTGCTGCACACTAACAGCACCTTTCAAGGCAGGTGAAATTGCTGACCTAGAAAATGTACAGAGAACCTTCACGGCGCGCATAACGGAGATAAAACACCTCAATTACTGGGAGCGCTTGAGGTTCCTGAACCTGTATTCCCTGGAACGCAGGCGGGAGAGATACATGATTATATACACCTGGAAAATCCTAGAGGGACTAGTACCGAACTTGCACACGAAAATCACTCACTACGAAAGCAAAAGACTTGGCAGACGATGCAACATCCCCCCAATGAAAAGCAGGGGTGTCACTAGCACGTTAAGAGACCATACAATAAGTGTCAGGGGCCCGAGACTGTTCAACTGCCTCCCAGCATACATAAGGGGGATTACCAACAGACCCCTGGCAGTCTTCAAGCTGGCACTGGACAAGCACCTAAAGTCGGTTCCTGACCAGCTGGGCTGTGGCTCGTACGTTGGTTTGTGTGCAGCCAGCAGCAACAGCCTGGTTGATCAGGCTCTGATCCACCAGGAGGCCTAGTCACAGACCGGGCCGCGGGGGCGTTGACCCCCGGAACTCTCTCCAGGTAAACCACTTCCCCACCTCATCTACCCCCACTTCCCTGCCTCATCTACCTTCACTTCCTTACCTAATCTACCCACACTTCCCTGCCTCATCTACCCTCACTTCCTTACCTAATCTACCCACACTTCCCTGCCTAATCTACCCCACTTCCCTACCTCTACCCCCACTTCCCCAACTCATCTGCCCCCACTTCTCTGCCTCATCTACCCTCACTTCCTTGCCTCGTCTACCCCCACTTCCCCACCTCATTACCCCCACTTCCCTGCTTCTATCCCCACTTCCCCGCCTCATTACCCCCACTTCCCTGCTTCTATCCCCACTTTCCCGCCTCATTACTCCCACTTCCCTGCTTCTATCCCCACTTTCCCACCTCATTACCCCCACTTCCCTGCTTCTATCCCACTTCCCCACCTCATTACCCCCACTTCCCTGCTTCTATCCCCACTTCCCGCCTCATTACCCCCCACTTCCCTGCTTCTATCCCCACTTCCCCACCTCATTACCCCACTTCCCTGCTTCTATCCCCACTTCCCCGCCTCATTACCCCACTTCCCTGCTTCTATCCCCACTTTCCCGCCTCATTACCCCACTTCCCTGCTTCTATCCCCACTTCCCCGCCTCATTACCCCCACTTCCCTGCTTCTATCCCCACTTTCCCGTCTCATTACCCCCACTTCCCTGCTTCTATCCCCACTTTCCCGCCTCATTACCCCCACTTCCCTGCTTCTATCCTCACTTTCCCACCTCATTACCCCCACTTCCCCGCCTCATCATATGACTAAGACCAGCGTCAGGAAACACTTGTCGTGTTTCCTGGCAAATCTTACCTAATCTAATCTTATCAATCATGATTATAACCTTAAAAATTAAAACAGTTAAGCAACTCAATGATGAAAATCACTTATAATAAAAGTAGTTATTATGTACTAGGAATAGTCTGCCTGAAATACCCCGGCAAGATAGTGACTTTCTTTGTACTTAGCAAACCAAAATTGTAATTACACATTGTAACTTTTACAAATAAATTTTTTTTTCTTTATACAGAAAGTCGCTTGTTGTGCAAAGCATTTACGGCAAATTAGGTCAGTTTTGTCCCAGGATGCGACCCACACCAGTCAACTAACACCCTGGTACCATTATTACTGATGGGGAATATAGACAACCGGTGTAAGAAACACGCCCAATGTTTTTACCCTCGCCGGGAATCGAACCCAGACCCTAGCCGTGTGAAGCGAGAGCTTTACCCACCAGATCACAGGGCCTGGTGATACAATAAGAAATAAAGTAAGCAGAACTATTTACATGAACATTAAAGAGAGGATCAACTTAGTGAACCACTATGACAAAATTGCAAAGGCCTTGGGAGAAAACCAGAAACGATATTGAACTTTCTGACAGATACAACAGAAAGACTAGTAGTAAAAAGAGCAAATTCCAACATTAACAAAGTAAAAAAAAAAAAAAAGGTCAGTACCCCAAGGCAGGGTCCTGGTGCCTAATTTTTGTTATCCTCATAGCAGACATAAATAAAAATAAGCGGTATAGTTTGGTATCATTTGCACATAACCAAAATAAGCATGGAAATCACCTCGGTAGAAGACACGGAAAAGTTCTTCTTCTTTCAACGTACCAGCCGTATCCCACTGAGGTGGGGTGGCCCAAAAGAAAAAACTGAAGTTTCTCCTTTTAAATTTAGTAATATATACAGGAGAAGGGGTTACTAGCCCCTTGCTCCCGGCATTTTAGTTGCCTCTTACGACACGCATGGCTTACAGAGGAAGAATTCTGTTCCACTTCCCCATGGAGATAAGAGGAAATAAACAAGAACAAGAATTAGAAAGAAAATAGAAGAAAACCCAGAGGGGTGTGTATATATATGTTGTACATGTATGTGTAGTGTGACCTAAGTGTAACATGAAACGACCTAAGTGTAAGTAGAAGTAGCAAGACTTACCTGTAATCTTGCATATTTATGAGACAGACAAAAGACACCAGCAATCCTACCATCATGTAAAACAATTACAGGCTTTCGTTTTACACTCACTTGGCAGGACGGTAGTACCTCCCTGGGCGGTTGCTGTCTACCAACCTACTACCTACAAGTATGTATGATACTTGTACTAAACTTACACAACACCGATGAAGGTAACCACACCAAACAAAAAAACATGAAAGGCCAAGGGAGTAATAATGTCAGGTGACCTACCAAAAAAACACAGTAAGAAATATGATGCTGTGGCTAATAAGAACTTTCAAAACAAGAGAAATAGTGGCACTGGCAATGCTATTTAAATCACTTGTGCTCTCATGCTGAGAGTATTGTTCAGTGTTGACGGCTCCGTCCAGGACACGAGAGCTCTCACAGCTAGAACAGATACAAAGACCAATTACAAGACGAATAAAACATTAAATTACTGGAAATGCCTCATAGCCCTAAATATCTACTCGCTAGGGAGAGAGAGATAAATGATAAGAAATTCGTGGAAGCTGCTGCTGCTGCAGCACATGAACCAGGAATATTGTCGCATATAAACGAAAACTATGTAGAGTAAAAAAAATCAGGCAACTAGTAAAAGGTAATCCTAATGGAATACATTAAAAAAGTTGATTGACTTATGTCCTCTTCAAGGTTACCAAAATGGAGGCCAACAGGTATGTTCTTAACATATATTTTCCTTATAGTATATTATAGTTTGTATGAAATATTAAAAAACAGTAATTTATTTATATTTAAAAAATCACGTGTTCATGATTACTGGAGAATTAAGATAGTAAGTAATTGAACTACATTCGAATATTTTGTATTAATTGCATTTATGCTTTTGATTGAAAATTATTGGTAGTTCCAAATAATTTTCAAATAGTCATAATGTTTTAATGAAAGCAGTAGGAACATATTTCTGAAATAATAGAGAAAGAGAGTTTGAGGTGATATTTGAATGGAGGTTGATGTTATTGTTTACGTTTGGTGGAGTTGAGGAGTGTGTAGTAACTTGCTAGTTAACTATCCTCAGGAGGAGGCTGGAGGTCTGTGTAACTTCTACACATTAATTAGTAAGTCTATATCCATTTGTCTTGGATACCCATGGGTCAGGTGCTCCTTTGTGAAGCTCTGAAGGATCTAGACAACGTATGGTGAAATATATTTGGTTTGTACCATTACTGTGTTCTTTAATCTCCATGTACCATATTATATAATAAAATATGCCCATCTGTGCATTTATAAAAGATGGGGTAGTAGGAGAAATAGAATATTCAAATCACCTTGGGGAGAAATACAAATATTTTTCGAGCCCCCCCCTCCTTTCCTTTTTTTTTTTTTACTTACAGAACCCCAGTGGAAATGAAGTCACTCTGATTTTTTTAGGTTATCCTAGGTAATTTCCTCTTTGTATAGTAATTGTACTTATGTGTATCTGTGCCTAAATAAACTTACTTACCTCTCTTAGTGGGTGATAAAATATGCATAGGTTGTTAGTCGCTTCTCTTTATTGCCTTTTTTTGGTTAAAAGTTCCACCATTTCCTTATAAATGTTTTTTTTCTCTTTCAGCATCAGGGAGGAGGGAGTCACAGTCCCTGTAAGATTTGTAAAACAGAGACAAAGTTTTCTTCTGTCTGGAGTCTTGAGTGTTTCAATAATGATCTTATGAATGCATGAACACCAGGATCCCTGCAAGGAGGTGCCTTGATGCCCATGAAGATCTCTTGATCCAAGGAACTGAACTTCCTTGGATGAAACCTGAATGTGTCTCATATCCCAGGCTCTATATGACCTTTATGGGTTCAGTTTTTCCCTCTAATTAAAATAAATAAATACATAGATCATGGCTGGTAAATATACAAAAGAAATATACACAAAAACTAAATTCTTCATAATACATAGAACCTAAAATGCTTCATGTACAAAAGGACTTTTTGCCTTGACTAAAAGGAGATGAGTCAAGTCCTGGATGGGGAGAGGCAAGCAGTCAAGTTTCCTAACATCTGCTCCTGTTCACCTAGCTGTAAATAGGGACATGCCTCTCGGCTGACTGATGAGAGTTGCATCTTGGGGAAGAGGCCCAATGGATATTAATGGAAATAGGTTTTGTTGAGCTGTCCTGAGTGACTAGCCTCAAGAGGTTAATACTTATTAAATTCACCTTATTCTGCTTTGAGAAAAAAAAAATTGAACTATGCTCTGAGGTTGTGGAGCCTGTGTTGAACTTTGTGCTGAGAGCACCAACAGCCTGTTCAGTTGGTTTTGACATGATTAGGTAACTGATTCTCTTTGTACTGTAGCAGGAGCTATGACTTGAACCCTGCAACCACAAATAGGCGAGTATGTACAAGTGAATGATGCCTGGCTGCATACAGTAGGTACTGCAAAAAAATTCACTTCCTTGGCATTATGATTGGATTTCTGCCCCTTTCAAAATTTGTGACAAGATAGTCAGGACATAATCTGATAGTTATCAGTATTTTTAGACGATGTAAATAATTTGCACTTATGTTTTCCAGGATCATTAGCACACAGCAGCACAGTTATTCTCTGTTTTTTAGCCTTTTGTCCTATGTGCAGATATCTCATCTTACAAAAAAGAATACATTGTAATTTCCATTTACATTATAAACCTATCTTATCTATTATATACCATGTGTGATCTGCATTTATGTTGCTCTCTGAAATGACAATACTTAGCTAATTCATCCAAATAATCCTCAGTAACTATGGTATGTACTAAATTCACTAAATGAAAAGGTTTATATATTTTATATACAGTAGTCATTAAACATTTTTAATTAATACTGTGTATAACTTCATTGAAAAATTTTGGTTTGCAGGATAGTGATCTAGTGCAGTGCAGAGCACTTACAGAAAATTACATCATGATTGGTAAAACAGGTGAGGAATTCATAACCATTTTATTTTTGGCTGTATGTCTTATAGTTAGTAGATAGCAATCATCCAGGAAAACACTGTACTACAGTACTGTACTACCATACTGTCATATGAGTTTAAAGCAGGAGCCTATTAAGCATTTTGTACTCTAGCAGGATTACCGTTTTCTTTTTTTTTCTGTCTGACGAACATATAAGATAGTAGGTTAATCTTACAAGCCTCTAATAAAAATGTGACATTTTTATTGTGGCAAGCCGTTATCCATGGAGGCAAAGAAGGGAATGTATGAAAGTATAGTGGTACCAACACTCTTGTATGAATGTGAAGCTTGGGTTGTAAATGCTTGCTCGAGGAGGCAGCTGAAGGCAGTGGAGATGTTGTATCAAAGGGCAGTGTGTGGTGTAAGTATTATGCAGAGAATTCGGAGTGTGGAAATTAGGAGGAGGTGTGGAGTTACTAAAAGTATTAGTCATAGGGCTGAAGAGGGGTTGGTGAGGTGGTTTGGTCATTTAGAAAGAGTGGAACAAAGTAGAATGACTTGGAGAGCATATAAATCTGTAGGGGAAGGAAGGCGGGATAGGGGTCGTTCTTGAAAAGGTTGGAGGGAGGGGGTAAGGGAGGTTTTGTGGGCAAGGGGCTTGGGCTTCCAGCAAGCATGCCTGAGCATGTTAGATAGGAGTGAATGGAGATGAATGGTTTATGGGACCTGACAAGCTGTTGGAGTGTGAGTAGGGTAATATTTTGTGAAGGGATTCAGGGAAACCGGTTAGCCGGACTTGAGGCCTGGAAATAGGAAGTACAATGCCTTCGCTTTAAAGGAGGGGTTTGGGATATTGGCAGTTTGGAGGGACTTCTAAACTGTCGTATCTGAGCGCCTCTGCAAAGACAGTGATTATGTATGAGTAAGGTGAAAGTGTTTAATGATGATGAAAGTATTTTCTTTTTGGGGATTTTCTTTGTTTTTGGGTCACCCTGCCTCTGTGGGAGACAACCAGTGTGTTGAAAAAAAATTTATATATACAAAAGTAAAACTTATTTGTTCCAGTGAAGTTTGTAATTATAAATTACCTCCTTAAACAGACCTTTCATTTGTATATATTTTTTTCACAGATTTCCCTGAAGTTCTTCCACTTCCACCAAGTCCTACTTCAGTGGAATCACTCCTTGGACCTATGGATTTTTCATCAGAAAATTTTGAAAATTATGACAATTCATCAAATTTTTCCATTGATGTTAATGATTTTAATGACCTAAGTAATAATTTAATTAAAATTAGTGGGCAGTCAACAGCATTGAGTGCAGGACATGGTATGTATAGCTCAAGCAGTAGTAGTTCTTCTGTGTCAGTGACACAGTCAGAACTGTTGGGTACTGGGGAAAATACTCATAGTTTGACTAACAAAGATTGTCCCGATCTTTATCCAGTAGTTGAATTTCTGGATGGAAAAGAGGTTATAACAATAACCACTTCTAACACAGTGCCAAATAATAATACTCTGTCAGCAACTATGTCTGGTTTTAAATCAGGTGATTCTGTTCCTACTTGTGTAGGAAAGACCAGTACCTCTTTTAATCACATTAATCAAAAAGAGTTTTTTAATCCTATAAAGGAAAAGTCCAACAGTGATAATGTTTCTACAGTAGTAGAAAATGAAGTATCACATTTACTAACACCATTTATCTTTGCATCAGTACCTTCTTGTTCAAATAGTGGAACTTCATCCACTGAACTTGAAACCAGTTCAGAATTACCTTCGGTTACTCCAAGGTATGCTCAAGTGGAAGAGATGCAAAGAATGGCAAATGTTTCTAATCAAACCAGTCTCATTACAACTTGCTCACAAACAGTACAAATGAACTGTAATAGTTCAAAATACAAAGATGGCTCTTCTGAGTCTGAGATTCTTTTAACTCCTGATAGATTTGCCTCTGCGGATCACTGTGCAGAGACTAAAAATGAAAATAGACTATGCAGCTCTGATTGTCTATGTAGGTTATATGTTCCTAGTACTCTTGAAGCTGATCTCATGACGTCTGATTATGAAGATGACATTGAGCAAGATTTGAAAGACATAGAAGAAATGGAAGAAGAAGAAAAGAAGAAAGAAGAGAGGCAGACTCAGCATCATTCTGCCTTATCTTATGATAGTGGACGGCTTCCTCCAATTGGTGTCTTTTGGGACATTGAAAACTGCCAGGTAAGCATATACATCTTTTATTAGAATGTATATACTATATATACTGTACCAAAATTTTGTAAACTGATTCCTTAAATACAGTAATCAGAAATGTAGTGTACCTCAAGAAAGTGTTTGCATGTATGTTTATGTGTGCGTGATCAAGTGATAAACTGATAAATGATACACTTTATAAAGTATGGTTTAGAGTTGACTTAGAAAACGGTGACATTATTGACATTTTTTTTTTTTTTTTTTCAACAAGTCGGCCGTCTCCCACCGAGGCAGGGTGACCCAAAAAAGAAAGAAAATCCCCAAAAAGAAAATACTTTCATCATCATTCAACACTTTCACCACACTCGCACATTATCACTGTTTTTGCAGAGGTGCTCAGAATACAACAGTTTAGAAGCATACACATAAAGATACACAACATATCCCTCCAAACTGCCAATATCTCAAACCCCTCCTTTAAAGTGCAGGCATTGTACTTCCCATTTCCAGGACTCAAGTCCGACTATATGAAAATAACCGGTTTCCCTGAATCCCTTCACTAAATATTACCCTGCTCACACTCCAACAGATCATCAGGTCCCAAGTACCATTCGTTTCCATTCACTCCTATCTAACACGCTCACGCACGCTTGCTGGAAGTCCAAGCCCCTTGCCCACAAAACCTCCTTTACCCCCTCTCTCCAACCCTTTCAAGGATGACTCCTACCCCGCCTTCCTTCCCCTATAGATTTATATGCTTTCCATGTCATTCTACTTTGATCCATTCTCTCTAAATGACCAAACCACCTCAGCAACCCCTCTTCTGCCCTCTGACTAATACTTTTATTAACTCCACACCTTATCCTAATTTCCACACTCTGAATTTTCTGCATAATATTTACACCACACATTGCCCTTAAACAGGACATCTCCACTGCCTCCAACCGTCTCCTCGCTGCTGCATTTACCACCCAAGCTTCACACCCATATAAGAGTGTTGGTACTACTATACTTTCATACATTCCCTTCTTTGCCTCCATAGATAACGTTTTTTGACTCCACATATACCTCAACGCACCACTCACCTTTTTTCCCTCATCAATTCTATGATTAACCTCATCCTTCATAAATCCATCCGCCGACACGTCAACTCCCAAGTATCTGAAAACATTCACTTCTTCCATACTCCTCCTCCCCAATTTGATATCCAATTTTTCTTTATCTAAATCATTTGACACCCTCATCACCTTACTCTTTTCTATGTTCACTTTCAACTTTCTACCTTTACACACATTCCCAAACTCATCCACTAACCTTTGCAATTTTTCTTTAGAATCTCCCATAAGCACAGTATCATCAGCAAAAAGTAACTGTGTCAATTCCCATTTTGAATTTGATTCCCCAAAATTTAATCCCACCCCTCTCCCGAACACCCTAGCATTTACTTCCTTTACAACCCCATCTATAAATATATTAAACAACCATGGTGACATTACACATCCCTGTCTAAGACCTACTTTTACCGGGAAGTAGTCTCCCTCTCTTCTACACACCCTAACCTGAGCCTCACTATCCTCATAAAAACTCTTTACAGCATTTAATAACTTACCACCTATTCCATATACTTGCAACATCTGCCACATTGCTCCTCTATCCACTCTATCATATGCCTTTTCTAAATCCATAAATGCAATAAAAACTTCCCTACCTTTATCTAAATACTGTTCACATATATGCTTCAATGTAAACACTTGATCTACACATCCCCTACCCACTCTGAAACCTCCTTGCTCATCCGCAATCCTACATTCTGTCTTACCTCTAATTCTTTCAATTATAACCCTACCGTACACTTTTCCTGGTATACTCAGTAAACTTATTCCTCTATAATTTTTACAGTCTCTTTTGTCCCCTTTCCCTTTATATAAAGGGACTATACATGCTCTCCGCCAATCCCTAGGTACCTTCCCCTCTTTCATACATTTATTAAACAAAAGTACCAACCACTCCAACACTATATCCCCCCTGCTTTTAACATTTCTGTCATGATCCCATCAGTTCCAGCTGCTTTACCCCCTTTCATTTTACGTAATGCTTCACGTACCTCCCCCACACTTACATTCTGCTCTTCTTCACTCCTAAAAGATGGTATACCTCCCTGACCAGTGCATGAAATTACTGCCTCTGTTTCTTCCTTAACATTTAAAAGTTCCTCAAAATATTCTCGCCATCTACCTAATACCTCCATCTCCCCATCTACTAACTCCCCTACTCTGTTTTTAACTGACAGATCCATACTTTCCCTAGGCTTTCTTAACTTGTTTAACTCGCTCCAAATTTTTTTTCTTATTTTCATTAAAATTTCTTGACAGTGCCTCTCCCACTCTATCATCTGCTCTCGTTTTGCACTCTCTCACCACTCTTTACCTTTCTTTTACTCTCCATATACTCTGCTCTTCTTATAACACTTCTGCTTTGTAAAAACCTCTCATAAGCTACCTTTTTCTCTTTTATCACACCCTTTACTTCATCATTCCACCAATCACTCCTCTTTCCTCCTGCCCCCACCCTCCTATAACCACAAACTTCTGCCCCACATTCTAATACTGCATTTTTAAAACTATTCCAACCCTCTTCAACCCCCCCACTACTCATCTTTGCACTAGCCCACTTTCTGCCAATAGTCGCTTATTGACATATTTTATAGAAATTCTCTGGTTATATAGAGCATTTCAGGCAGTCTTAAAGTAAACTTATAATTACTTGTAACTTATAACTACTACTACTTGAACTTTTTTGCAAGCAATTTGTTGGAAATTTCAGTAAAATATTGTGCTATAACATTTGTGGAGGTTATTACAAATGTTGGTTAAATACAAATGCAACTAGTGGACTAAATTTCAATATTACTACACAGGATACACTGTGTAGATGTGTGCATATTTGTTTTTGGGCATTGTAAGCAATTTAAGTATTAATTTAATTCATTTTTTGTTACTTTAAATATTGAATAGCATTTGTAATTGTATTTTAGTAATGGGTTAGTGTGGGCTTAAGTTTGCATTTAAAGAGTTATGGTAGAGTATGGTGACTTTAGAGATAATGTTTAGTTTGCTTTTGCATTGCAATTCTAAGTGCTTCTGCACTATCATATTACAACCAAAATTAAAAATGCTAATCACACACTATCAACATAAAAAGTTGGGAAGGGTAATTAAACCTTTAGTTAAGACTAATACATAATGAATAAGCAGGCTGGTGATTTTACTTCCCAGACTAACAGTTGATTACCCTGTAATACACATACACTACAGTGTACTGATGTTTTATTCAGACGAGTAATTGTCAGTATACATTATACAGGTACCGAAAGGACTCTCGGCTACCCATGTAGTCCAGGCCATTCGAGCAAGGTTTTTTAATGAACATCGTGAAGCAGAGTTTATGTGTGTCTGTGATACATTAAAGGAAAACTCAAAAATTCTTGAAGAACTCAATGATGCTCAGGTATGTACATTAGTGTGTAATTAATGTATGTGTATGCTTATATATGTTTGCCTATTTATGGTTGCAGGGGTCAGATCTCAGTTCCTGTTACCACCTCTCAACTTGTCTCTTCCAGATTCACACCCTCCCAGCCTTGGGGCCCTATTGTGCCTACTGTTAAAATTATGCATAGAACCCCTCTCATCAAGATCATTCCACATTCCAGTCACTCTGAGACTGAAGAAATACTTCCTGACATCTCCGTGGCTCATCTATGTTTAACTTACAGCTGTGTCCCTGAGAATCTGTTTCCTAGTACTCAGGAGCACAGGTTACAATACAAGTGAGATCTGTTTTATAACCAACATGGCCCAGTGTATGGAATTCACATACACACATTGTGTGTGTATGTGAATCCATTGCTGATCCATTGGGCCACTTTGGTTACAATATAGACTTTTTTTTTATTCTTCTTAACACACCAGCCATCTCCCACTGATGCAGGGTGACCCAAAAAGACTTTCACCATCACTCACTCCATCTCTGTCTTGCCAAAAGCATGCCATTACTACAGTTCAGATGCCCCTTCAAACCACAGTATCTCCACCCCTCTTTCAGAGTGCAGGCACTGTCCTTCCCACCTCCAGGACTCGAGTTCAACTAACCAGTTTTCCCTGAATCCCTTCATAAATGTTACCCTGCTCACACTCCAACAACATATCAAGTCGTAAAACTACCTGTCTTTACTCACCATGAGCTAACACTCACTCAGGTCTGCTGGATGCACAAGCCCCTAGCACTCAAAATCTTTACCCTTTTCCTCCAACCTTTCTTGAGAATACCCTTACTTCTTCTTCCTTCTCCCGTAGATTTATACACATTCTTAGTCGTCATATTCTACTTCATCCTCTCTGAATGACCAAACCACCTCCACAATACCTCCTCTGCCCTCTAATTTATACCTTTGGTAACCCCACACTGTCTTCTAATTTCTGTGCTCTGATTTCTCTGCAGCATATTCACACTACACATTGCTGTCAAAAATGACATTTCCACTCTTTCCAGCATCCTTTTTGCTACAATCTTTAAAGCCCATGCCTCACACCCCTATACATATGTTGGTACTATCTACTCTGGCAATTTCCACCTTTTTTCCTCTGTGAGGAGGATAAATGGATAAAAATTAGATGTACCAGAGAGAATTAGAACTAAAGAAGTGGAGAGAAAAGTGCTGTAAGTGTTTAAATTTGAGAATTGTGTGGATTATAAGAAAAGTAGAATGTGAGAAATGAGTTATAGTAAGTGTTTATGTTCCTGGGGGGATAGAGGATTGTAGAGAAGAGAGCAAGGCTTCGGAAGGTTTTAAGATGAAAATATAATAATAATAATCCATGGGAAAGTGGAGAAGAATCCTTCTTCTATAGGCCATATGTGATGTGCCATACGAGGCTTTTTTGTTGACACTATTATTAGAGAATGTAGAATGTATTTTTTCCAAACATTATGTACAGTTAAAGCAAATACTTTGCTTATTACCTCTACCCAACACATGAAAGAAAAGTAACACATTTTTTTTAACACGTCAGCCATTTCCCACCGAGGCAGGGTGACCCAAAAAGAAAGAAAAATCCAAAAAGACTTTCACCATCACTCATACATACTAACTGTCTTTGCAGAGGCACTCAGATATAAGCTTACGCATGTAGACATACACAAGACAATATCATGTGGACATGAAAGAAACAATAACATACCTTTGATGAGTTATGAGAGTCTTGCTACCCTCGGAGCCCTGCCGTGGGCCAGTCTTGTCATGCTTGACATGAAACAATAGCACATACAGACATCAAAAAAGCAGTAATGATTTAAGTGTTTTAATTTGTACAGGTGAATGTGATGCATGTGGGAAGTACTGTGAAAAATGCTGCAGATGATAAACTTCTTCAGAGCATGCGGCGTTTTGCTGACATCCATGGCACAGGTGCTACTATTGTGCTTATTTCAGGGGACTCTAACTTTGCCACAGAACTCTATGACTTAAGATATCGGTAAGGAAAGAATGTGTACAAGTTTTAGGAAGTGATATATGTTGTCTTGTTTCCTTTTGCTTTAGCTGATACCTTCACTGTACAGTGTGAAGAAGGGTGCCTGTTATACTTTAATTGTGCCATAAACTGTAAATACAAAATAATTCACAAGTATAATTTTTACACATCGTTTTTTGTGGAATGGCTAGGTATTGGAATGGCAGGTGTTACTGACAAGTTTGGTAGACAGGCAGTTGTTAGATGGCAGGTCTACTGATAAGTGTGGTAGACAGACACTCAACATTATTATTATTTTCATTATTGTGATATTCAACATGTTAATAAATCTTTTCCAGGAAAAACCTTCGGGTGATAATAGTGCATAATGCTCATGCTCAGGACTCCCTCAAACTGTGTGCACATGAAACAGCCTTGTTTACTGAAGTTACTCAGGAGCTACCTCAGAGATCTAAACCCAAGGTCAGTAGATAGTATCTCTTCCCTTACACAGAAGTGCAATAAATACTGGTTAGTGGCAATAAAACCCACTTACAATATTACAGAAGGTAGAAAGAATGTACTTACTCTATTGTACATTTTGATCTATAGCTGAGAGCCTCATTGTATGTTGTTCATATCACCTCTTATATTTTTTTTCTTTCAGTGAACTGGCTGTATCCCACCGTGGCAGGGGTGACCTAAAATAGAAAAATTAAACTTTTTCTTTTTAAATTTCGTAATTTATACAGGAGAAGGGGTTACTAGCCACTTGTTCCTGGAATTTTAGTCACCTCTTAAGATACACATGGCTTACAGAGAAAAAACTCTTTTTCACTTCCCCATGGAAATAAAGGGAAATGCAGAAGAACAAGAACTGTTAAGAAAATAGAAGAAAACCCAGATGGGTGTGTAAATATATATGCATGTACATGCATGTATAGTGTGACCTGAGTGTAAGTAGAAGTAGCAAAATATACCTGTTATCCCATATGTTTATAAGACAGAAAAAGAGACACCAGCAGTCCTGTCAACTAGTTACATGTAACTGTAGAAGAAAGAAGTAAACTGCTTGTACTTTGAAAGTCATGTAGGGATGTTACCAGATTTCCATGTACATTCCACTTCACTGTATTCTTCATATAAGCCAGAAACTGTTAGCCCACTCACATACAATAAACTCTTTTATAATACCAAAACATGTACTGCTCACTGACATATAGTAAACTCTTTTATAATACCAAAACATGTACTGCATGTATTTTATTTCCTTGTGACTAAAAGGAGGAATATAGCACTTCTGGTTTGTCTGCTCTTCTAAACATCAGGTTACTGCTGTCTCCCAGCATTAATTGTGGAAAGATTTTTTTATTAACATCCTGTTTAAAAACTTCAAGTACGAAAAGTTGTGATACTGCATTTTATTATAGCACAATCCTGAATGTTATGTAAATGATATCTGTTTTATTGTTTTCTGACTAAAAGTATGAATTGCAATTGATGTACTATTCTATTATTTCTATTATCACACTGGCCGATTCCCACCAAGGCAGGGTGGCCCGAAAAAGAAAAACTTTCACCATCATTCACTCCATCACTGTCTTGCCAGAAGGGTGCTTTACACTACAGTTTTTAAACTGCAACATTAACACCCCTCCTTCAGAGTGCAGGCACTGTACTTCCCATCTCCAGGACTCAAGTCCGGCCTGCCGGTTTCCCTGAATCCCTTCATAAATGTTACTTTGCTCACACTCCAACAGCACGTCAAGTATTAAAAACCATTTGTCTCCATTCACTCCTATCAAACACGCTCACAGCATGCCTGCTGGAAGTCCAAGCCCCTCGCACACAAAACCTCCTTACCCCTCCCTCCAACCCTTCCTAGGCCGACCCTACCCCGCCTTCCTTCCACTACAGACTGATACACTCTTGAAGTTATTCTGTTTCGCTCCATTCTCTCTACATGTCCGAACCACCTCAACAACCCTTCCTCAGCCCTCTGGACAACAGTTTTGGTAATCCCGCACCTCCTCCTAACTTCCAAACTACGAATTCTCTGCATTATATTCCACACCACACATTGCCCTCAGACATGACATCTCCACTGCCTCCAGCCTTCTCCTCGCTGCAACATTCATCACCCGCGCTTCACACATGTACTCTCATACATTCCCCTCTTTGCCTCCAAGGACAAAGTTCTTTGTCTCCACAGACTCCTAAGTGCACCACTCACTCTTTTTCCCTCATCAATTCTATGATTCACCTCATCTTTCATAGACCCATCCGCTGACACGTCCACTCCCAAATATCTGAATACGTTCACCTCCTCCATACTCTCTCCCTCCAATCTGATATCTAATCTTTCATCACCTAATCTTTTTGTTATCCTCATAACCTTACTCTTTCCTGTATTCACCTTTAATTTTCTTCTTTTGCACACCCTACAAATCATCCACCAATCTCTGCAACTTCTCTTCAGAATCTCCCAAGAGCACAGTGTCATCAGCAAAGAGCAGCTGTGACAACTCCCACTTTGTGTGTGATTCTTTATCTTTTAACTCCACGCCTCTTGCCAAGACCCTCGCATTTACTTCTCTTACAACCCCATCTATAAATATATTAAACAACCATGGTGACATCACACATCCTTGTCTAAGGCCTACTTTTACTGGGAAAAAATTTCCCTCTTTCCTACATACTCTAACTTGAGCCTCACTATCCTTGTAAAAACTCTTCACTGCTTTCAGTAACCTACCTCCTACACCATACACTTGCAATTCCCAATTGATGTACTATTTAGATATTTTTCTATAATACTGTTTATTTTGAATAACAAGAGCAAAATAATTTGTTTCTGTAGGGAATTGGTTTGCGGCGAGATATTTTTGTCTCAAACTTACCAGATGGGGTTGAAGAATATGCCATCCGCCGTCGTCTTAATATTCTCTCGGCCAATTGTGGTGGAAAGGTGGGACGTGTTCGAGTCAACTGTGCTACAATATACTTCCAGACACCTGAGTTGGCAACAAGGTAAGTACTGTACAAAGATAAGCTTTGAAAGCTCAGCTCTGCACCAGGACTTGTTGCTTGCATTTCTTGTCACTTACATGTTAGCATGGCCACCCTTTTGTTAATTATTTGCCTTTTACTTTGAACCATGTCATTTCAGTTTTGATGTTTGTGCACTTTTAGAAATAAAGATATAGAATGAATTATAAATGCATTTCCTTCTTTGAGTCCTCCTGCCTTAGTGGGAAATAACCCTTGTCAAAAAATCACCACTGATCCGGTCTGGTTTCAACAAACATTTGGAAGAGTCGTTGAGTGTGCGTGTAATTAGTCATTTGTAATTACCAATTTGAAGCTACAGGAGCAAAACTATTCTCATGCTAAGTAAAAGGATACAAATGCAACTAATTAATGTGATGTTTTTATTATGCCAGCATTTCACTCTTCAGGAGCTTTGTCAAGTGTTAGATGTTTAGAGATGGTGATTTAAACTGCCTGTGAGCTTTTCATGAATGACTTAACTATTTACATGATTAGAAATGTTGATGAAAAATTAAGTGCATTAAATGGTACAGATTGTCACCTACTTCTGGTACCTCTAAATCTCCATCCTCCTCAGTCACTACTAGTACTTCATTTATGTGCATAGGCTGGTACAGCCTCTTGCAGGCTGCAGTAACCCTGTAATCCAGAGGTTGGACCAGTAAGGTGGTATTAGAAGGCAATATATGGACTTAATTTTTGCCATCTGTGCTGCTTAAATTTTCAGTCCTTGGGTGAGCGAGTTATCAAGCAATAGAAGAGCCTTGATATTCTCAAGATCTAGTTTAAGGACCTCTAGCTGGTGCTTGCATGCCTCAGGGATGTAAAAAACAAGTCATCAGATACATCCCTGTTAAACCAGCCTTTCTTACCCCTGTAATAACTTATTGGCAACTCATTCATGCAGTCCTTCAAAGCATAAGGCCGTGACTTCAAACAATGAGAACCATCAACATTAGCATGGCATAATACTGAGTAGTAGTCTTTACTGAGCTTACAGCCTGGTGTTCTTTCTTCATGTTGAAAGGCAGTAAATACCAAAAGAGACCAGTCTCATCTGTATTGTACAGTTGAGATAGAAGGAGCTTCTCACTGTCTATCAAATCACTTAACATTAATTTGAAGCTCAACTTCATCCATCAACATTAGCATAGCATAATACTGATGGTATACAAGAATCCTCACCATAAGTTTTAACATTACTCAAGCCATGACGATTACAGAAGCACCAAAGCCAACCATCACTGTTAAAATTCTATGTTTATATGCTTTGCTAGCCTGTGAGCAGATGAACAATCAGCACCATAAACATTAACACCAACAGAACATTGTTGTACATACCATTTACACACTGCCTCTTCAAGCTTTTTATTATGGGTTATTTTCATGTTTTCTAGGGACACTGAACTTAAGAGCATAATCTGTAAATTTGTCCTTGCTTCTACAGATATCAGAAACTGTTTGTTTCTTAACACAATATTCCTCTCATACCCCTGCCATTGAGACACTAGACTCGACCTTCTGTACTAGTCCAAGTTTCTGCTAAGCAGTGAGAATCACACATTTCCTCTTGGCACCACTACTTGCTTTAGAAGGCGTTCTTAATTGCACTTTACGTAATGTTAATAAAGTAACAAAAGACACTCTAAATCCAGGGAAAATTGGAGACCGAATGACAAATATGTACATGAGTGAGCACAAATAGTAAACTAGCACAGGGTACCTGCAGCTAAGGGAACAATGAAAACAGAGAGGTTCTTGCTTGACAGATGCTTGCTTCATTGATGTCAGGATTGATAGGTGCTTGCTTCAGCGATGCCAGGACATGCTAAGTGCCTACTTCAGTGATGTCAGGATTGTTAGGTGCTTGCTTCAGTGATGTTAGGATGTACTAGGTGCTTCAGTGATGTCAGGATTATTAGGTGCTTGCTTCAGCAATGTCAGGATGTGGTAGGTGCTTGCTTCAGTGATGTCAGGATTATTAGGTGCTTGCTTCAGTGATAGGACATGCAAGGTGCCTGCTTCATTGATGTCAGGATTGTTAGGTGCTTGCTTCAGCAATGTCAGGACATACTAGGTGCTTGCTTCAGTGATGTCAGGATTATTATGGGGTTGTAGGCGCCCTTATCAAACACAAACAATAAATATAAATCAGGAACGTACACGGTAAGCTGTCCAATATACAAGCACAGTTAGAAATAGAAATACAAATAGCTAGAGCTTCATTTAAGGAGGTTATTAATAGAGTATTCAAGAGGTTGCTAGTAGAATTACAGTAAATCAACCATTCAAATCATTATGAAGCCCTGTGTAGTCTGCAGTCAATCGAACAAACGGGCTTCCACATGGATAAATTGTCATTTTTGTGGAAATTGGTATCACACCCCTTGTGCAGATATCCAAGAACTAGCTACAAGCAGTATTAAAACAGGGAAGTGTTTTTGGGTATGCCCAAATGAGATAAATCTGTGGACTAAAATCACAAGGGTATTTAAAGAGGATAACATCAAAGCTGCTTTCATAGAAAACCTGGAAGCTTTCTACAACAGATGGGAGCATAAAAAGTCTGGGCTGGATGGTACTGCCCTTGATACTGGCCATGTAGTCAGAAACTGTAAGGCTGGAGGTGATGTCCAGGTAGTCAGTAAATGTGGGGCTGATAGTGCTGTCCTGGGAGACAGTAATGGTGAAGCTGGAGGTGCTGTCCTGGGAGACAGTAATGGTGAAGCTGGCAGTGCTGTCCTGGGAGACAGTAATGGTGAAGCTGGAGGTGCTGTCCTGGGAGACAGTAATGGTGAAGCTGGAGGTGCTGTCCTGGGAGACAGTAATGGGAAGCTGGAGGTGCTGTCCTGGGAGACAGTAATGGTGAAGCTGGAGGTGCTGTCCTGGGAGACAGTAATGGTGAAGCGGGAGGTGCTGTCCTGGGAGACAGTATTGGTGAAGCTGAAGATTTTGTCCAGGTAGTCGGGAATTTTACGCAGGAAGGAATACATATAAATGACCTCATAGGGGGCAGGAGCCGTAGTGGGGAAACAAGTGTAGTCAAAGATAAGATAAAACCAATATTGCAAACTAGAAATACCACAGGAAATAGCAAACAAGAGGACTCCACTAGCAATAGTGAGGATATATTACCAAAAACAACTGGTGGGAGCTCCATTGTTGGTGCTAGGGAGGATAGGAATAAGACAGGGAAACATGCACCAACAGGGAATACAGTCACAGAAACCCAAGGCAAATGGAAACCAAGCCTGTGCACATACTATGCACTTGGTATCTGCAGGCATGGGAAATCTGGATAAACAGATGGGACGTGCAACTATGACCACCCTAGAAAATGCCGTGCCCATATGACAACAGAAAAATGCAAACTCCCTTCCTGTAAGCTTTTTCACCCTGAAATGTGTACCTCTTCAGTACAGGAAAGACTGTGCTATAACTTAAATTGCCAGGCACACCATCTAAAGGGGACAAAAAGATACAAAACATCCAGGCCATGGGAAAACCTGGGTAGCCACAGCCACTCAAGAGGGAGAGGTTTTTTAGTGCCAGGAAGGTAAAAAAACTGACAGGAAATGACAGAAATCGTACACCAAATCCAGTCATTCCTGGAGTGGAACCACAGTCGATGGCCTCCACTCCAAACCAACAGATACAGATACTAATGCCGGAAAAAAAATTTCCCCCAGTACCAACAATACCACCAGTCCGATGACATTCTTCTTTGCAAATATACAGGGTCTAAAGCCAGCAACAAACAACAAAATACCTTTCATCCGTGGACTGCTTGCAGAGGCAAAGGCAATGTTCGCGGCTTTCACTGAGACCCACATAAAGGATCACTTGGACAACGAAATATGGATCCCAGGTTACAACCTATACAGATGTGACAGAGTGAACAGGCAAAAGGGGAGGGTTGGCCTGTACATTTCAGAGTCACTTGTTTGCACAGAACTGCTTAATGCCTCAAGTGATGTAGTGGAAGTTTTAGCAGTAAAGGTCGAGAACCAAAACCTAGTCATTGTGGTAGTCTACAAGCCTCCAGATGCAACATCCCAGCAATTCCAGGAACAGCTGTTAAAAATTGACCACTGTCTGGAAAATCTTCCAGCTCCTGCACCCAACATCTTGCTCCTGGGGGATTTCAACTTAAGGCACCTAAAATGGAGGAATATAGCAAATAATATTGTTGCAGTAATAACACCAGGAGGTAGCTCTGATGAAAACTCACACTCACACGAGCTTTTAAATCTCTGCACAAAATTCAATTTAAACCAGCAAATAATAGAGCCTACTAGACTGGAGAATACACTAGACCTCATCTTCACTAACAATGATGATCTGATAATAAATGTCACCATATCAAAAACAATATACTCAGATCACAACATAATTGAGGTTCAAACATGTATGTGTGGAGCCCCAGACCGACATAATGAGATTAGTCACGAGGGAGCATTCACCAAATTCAACTTCAATAACAAAAACATAAAGTGGGACCAAGTAAACCAAGTCCTAACCGATATAAGCTGGGAAGATATACTAAGCAACACAGACCCCAACTTATGCCTAGAACAGATTAACTTGGTGGCACTCGATGTATGCACAAGGCTTATTCCTCTAAGAAAAACGAGGAGTAGATGTAAAGTAGAAAGAGACAGGCGCTCCCTTTACAGGCGACGGAAAAGAATAACAGAGCGGCTAAAAGAGGTCAATATATCTGAAATGGGTAGGGAGACACTGGTCAGAGAAATAACAAGCATCGTACTTAAGCTAAAGGAATCTTATAGGAGTCAGGAATCGCGGGAAGAACTAAAAGCCATAAATGAAATCGAAAGAAACCCAAAGTATTTCTTCTCCTATGCCAAATCAAAGTCGAGAACAGCGTCCAGTATTGGGCCCCTACTTAAACAAGATGGGTCCTACACAGATGACAGCAAGGAAATGAGTGAGCTACTCAAGTCCCAATATGACTCAGT